CACACACACACACACACACACACACACACACACACACACACACACACCCCTCATTCCAATTCACATTAAAACCCTGAGTTCACGCTCTCCCCTAAACAAACAAACAAACAAACCCTAATCTCAAATGTGACAGTGGGGACTTTGGGAGGTTAAGACATGAGGGTAGGTGATAGTCTTCTCTTGGTTCTGGGTGCCATCTTTTCCAGGAACCAAAGAATATGGAGCTTTGATCTTGAGGCTTTCTAGACTTCTACACATAGCCTCCCGATTTAGAGTTAATACAACTACAAACCCAGAACTAACTAACATCTTCTTGATGTTGCTTATGATGACTATGAGAACACTAAGGCTGGCAGTATAGTTCAGTGGTGTAGTACTTGGCCAGCATGTACAAGGCTCTAAGGTCAATCTCTAGTACACAAGGTGAGAGAAAGTAGAGGGTGGGAGCGGGGTGGGGGGGTGGGGGGAGGGGAGAAGAACAAATTCTAACTGGAAATTCCCTTAAGTCTGATCATAGGGGTCTCTAAGTTTCCTTGTAGCACTTTTGGTCTGTAATAGCACAATGCAGGGGTTCCACAGCCACACTTTTTCTTTATCCAATACTTGAAATTCTAATTTCTATTTATATGTCAACTAATTAAAACTACACATACACACATAATTAAGAAAAGAGAATGACTATTAGCTTATGTTGAATACTACATTTTATGACTTTCCTGCTGTTACAAAGGAAAAAGAAAACAGTTAATTTCTCTCTAGTGATTTATTTTTGTGGTGCTGGGGTTAGAATCTAGGCTCTTGCATGTATTATGTGACAGTTCTACCATGGAGTTATAGCCCCAGTCCTACAGTTCCATTAGTCAGTAAAAACAATCAATTAAAAACTCAGGAAGACACAGGTAGATTTTTTTTTTTTTCTGCTAGAGTGATTATACTTACCCTTCTTTTGAAAGATACTTTATTTCTTTAAGGCTTTTAGAAATTTGATAAAACAAACAAAAACCTATGTCCATTTTCCTTTAAAATAAAATCCTGATTACTCCTAAAATACTATACATGGATTCCTCTGAAGAAGGAATAATAGAGACCAGAGACACAGTAAAGGAACCTTCAGCAATGAGCCACTTGCCCCTAACAATCTAGTGCACTCAGCCTTTCTCAGGAGGTCATTTTATGACAGAGAATCTTGGATATGTGTGAGTCAGGAAAACACAAGTATGTGCTGAAGCAAATGTATTTGCATTACAGACTATATCCTGTTTGTCTATATCAGTCAATAAACTTGTGTTTCCTAGGTGCTGTGTCTTTAGCAATTCAACTAAACTGACAAGGTTTAACTGGACTAAAGGCTTGGTGGTGCTCTGACTAAAGCCAGGTCTAGGGATCACCATGCAGTTACCCATTATTCTCTGATATGTTCTTGAAAGCCTCTGTGTTCTCTGGGTTACCCGAACTTTGGACAGGGATATTGCTTACTTATTTCAATACCAAGGCCACACTGTCTCCCCTCTGAGAAACAATATGTAAAGCTTTAGAAAATTATGAAAGCATGAACAGTTCCACACTAAATGTGTTTCATGGAGTGGCCCTTACCTTTCTTCAGTCGTCATTATATTATGAAACAGTTGCTATGGACAGTCTTTCGTCACCTTTATACTACAATTGTGTCAATTAGGCTGGAACATCAGCAAATGCAGACTCTTACTGCCATGGAAAAATGGAATATTCTTTCAGAAATAATGCCTACAAGAAATTACAAGTTGCACAGATGTAGGTGTGGTGTCGGATGTTTATGATCCTAGCATTCCAGAGGCTGAGACAGGTAGTCATAAGTCCGCGGCCAGCCTGGGCTATGTAGTGTGGCTCTGTCTGAAAAACACACAGACCTTGTTCATATAAATTTGCCTCTGTTCAAATAGCAAGGCAGCTTACAGTTTCTCTAGTGTAGAACGGCAACGCTCTGGACCAGATGTCGGTTCTCGGCAGCCAGGTCTAGCACTAGCGGGCAGGTGCGCTGTTCCAGCTGCTCTCACTGATCAGTGCCTTGGATCAGATGACCCGACAGCTGCCGTGCAGGAGGAAATGAAAATACCCGATATTCTATGATGAGAGGAAGTTTACATATGACACCTGACTGGTTCACAGATGACCTACACATACCAGGAAGTCCTTACCATGCAGGTAGACAGAACAAACATGTGGTTTTGATGTCCAAGAAGGAAACCTATCCCCCCAAATGTGAAGCACTCCTTGTCTATATAAAGCAATATAAAATGACTGAGAGGGATCCCTCTTGTAGATAATGAGAAATATACTTTTTTTCCTCCACTAAAGACTGTTTAGGCAAAGAGGAATTTACCCTTGGAAGCACTGATAGGGCTCCTCTTTTCATTACCTCATTCAATTCTTACTTTTTCTTCTCTGAACTGCAAATGTGCATGATACAGCGAAGGGAATGGAGGTGGGTGAGTGCGGGCACCAAAGGGACTATAAAGACGCCCACATGGAAACAATAATGCTTTGACCAAAATTCAAGAAGAAATCTTGAAAATGGGTAACAGATGTCTCTTGTTAAATGGCAGCATTGTAGGAGGGCCAGAAGAAAAATCTGTGTAAGGGAGGAAGTGGTCAGAGGGTGGGGGTGGGATTTTGTGACCCACCCCAAAATACCACTCAATCAGTGAAAAGGTGCCAAAAACCTTACAGAATTCCTTTACCTGTATTTATTCCAATTAACCCATTAAGAATGAAATGAAAACACTCTGTCCTACCCCCGCCTACCTCAAACTTCTGCATCCTGGAACAGCCACGTTCCTTCTAAATGCTATCTTTATGTTACCTCTGAGGTAGGGTTGTATTATTCTAATTTTCACTCGTAAACAAGCTAAGGCACACACACAGCATGAATGGCAAAGTTTTCTGAAATGTTTTCTGGTTCTTGACCTGTGCACAATCACCCACTCCCACCATGCTGATGTAGGCAACTCAAGAGATACTGAGCCAACACAATCATTTGTGACTCGTGGAGGACAGCAGTGTGGTCAAGAACGGAGTCTTCAGAAATGCTCTTTACTTGAGTGCTGGTAGCACATACATTCTTTTGACACGGAGACCAATCAAGGATTATAAGGAGACCAATCACATGATTATGGAAGAGTTGAAGGTACAGCCTTCTGTTCCCCATACTGCTGGGATCAGAACAGTGTCAATCTTAACAAAGTGGGTAATTCAAGAAGCACTTACAGCTCGGCCTTACTTGTGCCACCACACTGCAAGTCCTATGTTTTGCTGAATATTTTTATAGTTTTGGTCAGACACATTTTTATAGTCTTGGTCCCGGGCAATTCTCTATTATAATCAGGTTGCCTGTATAAAATGTAAATGGTTTAAAGCAGGATCTGAGGGAAACAATGCATATGTTCTCCATACACTGGGTCTATATATTTTGAGAAACACTTGAATAAACAATGGCAGCGTGCACTGTTTAAGAGATGCTATGAACAATGGTGACAGCCTGTGTAACGAAGAGTCCGAAGCGTGCACTGTAAGAGATGATGAGCAACACTGGTGGCTGCTGCACCAGCGTCCAGTGTCCTTCAGGAAACTGAAGACACTCAGAGGTTCATCCGCACTTTCTAGTCAAGCTCTAAAAATGAACATTTCCATTTAATACAAATATACAAATTTAAAATGTATGCAGTTCAGAATGGCCTACCAGTTCTAGATTGTTTATGTGCCAGAAAATATATAGTCAATAAAAAAATACCAGAGAGGTGGGGACAAAAAACTCTCTGGATCTGTACAGCAAAAATGAACATCACTCCAACAGGTGGCGAGTTATGGTGAAATGGAATCCTGTGACCAAGAAGCAGTGGGAAGACAGCACGTCACAAATCTGGTGATGGAGGATATGATGCAAAATAAGGCCCATTTTCCTGTGTAGAGAAAAAAGAGAACATTAAGTAACAAGACAAGTTAGCAAGGTGTGCAAAAGACAGGGGTTTGCAATAAATGGCACAGTGCATTCGAAACGTCCAGCACACACGTGTCGCCAGTGGAGACCTCAACCTCACTCCACTGGTGCGTGTCGGAGCTAGTGTGCAGTGGGGAGGAACCACAAGGATGACACTTGTGTGCTTCCTGCACACTCTAGGTGCTGGACATTTTACAGGCTCCTTGTTTTCGCAGTCCCTTTAAGTTCTCACATGATGCCAGGAAACAGGCAACCTTCTCATTCTACTGTCAAGACCGTGCAGATTATATACATCTAAAGTACCTCCCGGGTAACTAGCTGAGCCTGAATTTAAAGACAAGTATTTCCTGACACTGTACTCTTATGAGATGGTGTTACCTTCCCATTGCTGCATCTTAGTCATGGAACAATAAAAATGGTTTCTCAAGAATGTAGTAGTTGTCACCGTTTGGCAGCAGATATCTCCGTGACACAGATTTGTACCAGTTACAGTTCTCAGGATATTAGCTCCACGTCAAGACGGAGACTTGAACGCCAGAAGCTTAATGCCAAATGTAGAAGGCAACAAACTAGTGTCAGGAGAAATTCTTTGGCCCCCCTTTTTGGATAATCATGATAAAAACAAGGCAGTTAACTTTATGGTAGGAGGATTCTAGATTAGATTTATGAGATGTAAGACTGCAGCTTCATTTTTAGGAAAAGTATTTCTTTGGCAAAGAACTTGTTTTTCAGTAAACTACAAACAGAAAATGCTTACCATTAATGTAAGACAAGAGCCAGAAGTGAGAAGTGAGAAGGAGGAGGTAGTTAGCTCGATGGCCTTTACCTTACACTTAGAGAACATTGATTAGACCTGGAAAACTTCATGTTATTAGAGTAGAAATGAGCCAGCAGCACAGCTGCTCTTCTGAGCAAATGCTCTGAGCAGGAACCGACTCTGGTGTCACAGCCAGGAAATCAAAAGGACATCTAAGGAGACTTTCTAATAATAAACAAATCTGACCAGGTATTAGGGGAAGAAGAAAATAGAAACAAATCTCAGAATTGGCTACATTTCTGGAAACTTGGGGGGAAATACATATTTTTCATTTTAGCATATCTATCATGATCTGTAATCTATGCAGTTCTGCTTTATTATTATTATGTTTTTTCTTCTGAGACAGTGTTTCCTTGTAGCCCAGGCTGTCCTTAAATTTACAGTCATCTGCCTGCCTCTGCTCCCCTGAGTGCTGGGATTAAAGGCATGCACCACCACCTGGCTGCAGTTCTGTATTTTTTTTTTTTTTTAAGATTTATTTATTGTCTATATAATGTTCTGTCTGCATGAACACCTGCCGCCAGAAGAGGGCACTATAGATGGTTGTGAGCCACCATGTGGTTGCTGGGAATTGAACTCCAGACCTCTGGAAGAGCAGCCAGTGCTCTTAATCTCTGAGCCACCTCTCCAGCCCCCCTGTATTTTTAATATGCAGAAATTAAAGCCCTGAGAAACATGTCCCCAAAGAGAAATCCATTCTGAATGTCAGAGGAAATCCTTCACCTCTGTAAGAGTTTTCTTCTAGTCTCCTGTGCTATTTTCCAACATTCCTCATATGTGCATTGATTTTTGTGGTGAACTGAGAGGCACATGTCTGATAAGCGATGACATGAGACAGAGCTTCCTCCATTAATGTCACACTGTACAGGAGACTGCTGAGCCATCAACCAGCCTCTCTATTTATGGAAACAATGATAGTAATTTTAAGAGTCCTCACCAATCAAAATGGCATACTCCGATTTTATTTGTAAGAATGCTGACTTGCTCTTTTCTGGAAGTTGCCTCAGTATTATTTTTATCTAGATAAAAAATACCTTTCAACTACTTTTCAAAGGCCTCTTTTAGTCTTATAGAAAGCTACAGGCTTTCTAAATGACATAAATCTTAGAAATGATTTTTAAGTCCACTGAAAGTTGTTATCAACCATCAATCCTTTACCAAATAAAGAACCTACTATGTGCTATCAAGTGTAAGGTACGACTAAGCATAATAAAGTGTGTCAATTCTGTGCTCCCTTTTTTCAATCATGTTTTAAATTTCCTTACATATTAGTATCCAACAACCTCCTGGTATCTCAGGTCCACATCCCATAAACCACTGTGTCACAAATGAACATACTACCTGAACCTTTCCAAGTCCCTCAAGACTTTCTCTCACATCGCTTCTCTGACGTAATGGAAATAGCATCCATCAAAAACACTTGCTTTCTGCTTCATCTCCCACTGCTACTTATTCTCCAAATATTGCAGCTCTAAATATCTCCTATCTTTAAAGCCTAGCTTCCCCCAGCAGCCTGGCTTTTCTCTGGTGTCGGCTGAAGCTCACTCTTTCCTGTAGACTTGCCTGTCTCTTCATCCTGCTCTCTGCTCTGTCCACTGGTCTCTTTGCAGGGACTGTAACGGCAGCTCTTCCTTGCAGAACACTCCTCACTAACTAGTGTACATCAGCGCACACATGGACGGTGGCAGTATGCCATGATATGCCCTCTGCCTGTCCTTGGACACTGTCTCCTCATACTCTAAACCCTCACTTTTATGTCTGCCTTTTGTCCTCACAGACAGAGGGTATATTACCTCCATTCTGGAAGACTCCAGCATAGGTACAGAGAGTTGGACTAATAAGTCAGTTGCTAGTTTAGAAGTTATACTCCTTTTGATTGATCCTGTCATTGTGTCCATTTTGATTTTCAAAACAACAGAGAACTAAAAACACAAAGGCCAGACAAAAGGGAGCCTGAGTCTGGTGGGATAATCTTTCTGTATTTGCAGAAAAAAATTATACATTTAGACGGTAGCTTTGAAATATCATTCAAATTCTGAGTATCAAAATGTTCTGTTGGCCTTTTACATTTCCTGCTATTAATTCAAGCATGACAAGCGCAGTTCAAAGGCCAATGATAGGGTCAGTTTTTACTCAAACGATATTCAAATAAACACAAACTGATGTAGCTTTTCCCCATCCCACATACTGAATAATCTCTGTTCTATGATCCAGCTGCTCCAATTACAAACCCTTCTGTGCAGCAGCTGAATGTGAGATTTTATTAGCTAGTAGGTCACATTAGAGACTTTGCTCTCCACATAGGAGGAACAGAAGTCTTCACTGAAGTTGGGGAACCTTAGAGAATGTCCTGTGTGACTTTTACCTGACTGTAAACAATATGTTGCACAATAATTAGAGACGAATACTTCAAACTGAGTATTACTTTCCAGTATGTCCTCTGGCTCATGCCCAAAGACACGTAACCAGCGACAGTTAGACAAGGTGCTTGTTTAACTTTTGGCAAAGAGTCTCAATTCAATTTACAAAGTTATTATAAAAGTGATGCTGTGAGTGCACACCATAGAAAAGAACTTTAATGAAGTTCAAGAGAAGTTTTGTGATTAGTGCTTCAGTAATAGCTCTATGAATGTTTGGTAAAAACATTACCAAAGTCTTTAGACAATGATGTCTATGCTGCAAGTGAATATCAATCCGGCCTGGTGTAAGGTTAGAGCTAAAAAGCCTCCAGTCTTATAACCCACAACCCCTGATCAGACATGGCCCATGGTAGCTCAGTATCCAAGTGGGTTCCCCAGTAAGGGGGACAGGAACTGTTTCTGACATGAACTCATGAGCTTCCCCTCCCCCCTGAGGGAGGAGCAGCCTTGCTAGGCCACAGATAAGGACACTGCAACCATCCTGAAGATACCTGATAAGCTAGGGCCAGACAGAGGAGAGGAGGACACCCCCTCTCAGTGGACTCGGAGTGGGGCAGGGAGGAGATGAGGGAGGGAGGGGAGGAGAAGGAGGAAGGAGGGAGTGGGCTACAGCTGGGATACAAGTGAATGTATAAATATTTAAAAATAAAAAAATATTAATTAAAAAAAAGCCTCCAATCTTAAGAAGTCTTCGATATGACAGAAACTGTCCATACAACTAAGAGAAACAGCTCTAAATTCATGACTGGAAAACCTTTTGCTAAAATGCTGATCTGTAGAAAACATTCCTGGGACAAGGACTTTTCCTAAGTTTATTCTGTGAAAAAATGCTCATTCAAAGGTCATTCAAAGGTCACAGCTGCTGCAGTACAGCACACTTACACACTCATATGCTCATACCTGCTGCTCTGTAGTGTGTTCACACACTCAGGCTCACAGGTGCTGTTCTGTAGCATATGTGTGTCTCATGGCACTCAACATACAGGAGGATATCTACATATGAGACAAAAGTTGTGTGAGCAACCTTCTTAACATGTATGCAGCAGGTAACACACACACATGCTCCCACCTGCTTCTCTACTCTGTGGCACACCCTCACGCTCTTACCTGCTGCTCTGTGATGTACCCACAGCTCTGTGGCTCACCCACACACTACACAGGACAAAGGAGAACAGGTGCTTACCCTGGCATCATATTCGAGGACAAAAGGAGGAAAGTCTATCTGCTCTGGTGATATGGCAGAAAAGAGCTGCTGTAGGCTGTCTACATGGTGGATTTTGTCCTTCAATCCTGAGACAGAAAAGGTGGTGAAAAACCATGTTGAGACCTGATTGATAGGAGAGAAACATAATTTAAGCCAGTAGCCACTGGGAAGAGACACACCTTTGAAATTTTATGCTAGTTAAAACTGTAATTTCAAAATATTTGAAATTGTACTAAAACAAGATTTTTAAGTGCAGTTTGTAGTTCATTAGTGAGCAGAACAATAATTTCATACATTACAAGGAACACTAAATAAGAAAGAGCAGTGACATTGCTGGGTCTACAACAAAGAGGCTGTTTCACAGAGCATTTGTCTCAGTGTGTGTAGATACACTCCTCTGTGTACAGCATGCTGAGAAACAACAAATGTTTCTGACTGTTGACTGACACTCTGCGCAGGTTGACTGACGCTCTGCTGAGAAAGGGAAACTGGAGGTCACTGGGTACTTCACTCCAAGGGCAGGCCTCAAACCCTGGAGTAGTTGGCCAATGCAGAATGGACTCCACGGTTCTGTGCACTTCCTGTTTTGTTATTTTTTGTTTGATTGTTGTTTGTTCTAATTTTTTGATGTTGGAGAGGGGGAGGGAGGAAATGAGGGGAGACAGGAGCATAAGGTTGGGCAGATAAGGAAGATCTGGAAGGAGGTAGAGAAGGAGAAATAATATGATTAAAATATACTGTCTGCTTTAGGTGTACAGATTTTAGTATGTTTATCCTATCTTATAGGTCCAGTACTCACTTATAAGTGAGTATATACAGTGTGTGTCTTTCTACTTCTGAGATACCTCACTCAGGATGATCTTTTCTAGATCCCACCATTTGCCTGCAAATTTCATGATTTCTTTGTTTTTAACAAGAAAGAGGACACAGGGTAAGATGATCAATCCTCACTTAGAAAGACAAATGGGATGGACATTGGCAGTAGGAGAAAATAAGTAACAGGATAGGAGCCTACTATAGAGGGCCTCTGAAAGACAATACCTAGCAGTGTATCAAAGGAGATGCTGAGACTCATAACCAAACCTTTGGCAGAGTGCAGGGATATGAAAGAAGGGGGAGTTAGTATGACCTGGAAAGGACAGGAGCTCAACAAGGACCTAATATATCTGGGCACAGGGGTCTTTTATGAGACTGTATTTCTGACCAAGGACCATGTATGGATATAACCTAGAACCTCTGCTCGGATGTAGCCCATGGCAGCCCAGTATCCAAGTGGGTTCCCTAGTAAGGGGAACAGGGACTATTTCTGACATGAACTCAATGGCTGTCTCTTTGACCTCCCCCCCATGGGAGGGGCAGCCTTGCTAGGCCACAGAGGTGGACATTGCAGCCAGTCCTGAAGAAACCTGATAAGCTAGGGTCAGACGGAAGGAGAGGAGACCTCCCCTATCTGTGGACTTGGAAAGGGGCAGGGAAGAGATGAGGGAGGGTAGGATTGGGAGGGAATGAGGGAGCAGGATACATCTGGGATATAAAGTTAATAAACTGTAACATATTTAAAAAATTAAAATTAAAAAATATACTGTCTGAAAAAAAAAAGCCTTCTGCATTATCTGGTACAATAATTGATGTTTTGGTACAGTAGATTAATAGTCTTTAAAGTGTTTTTGTTTGTTTCCAATATTTTGGAACTAAGGTATTTTCACTTGACAAATGCCATACGGTCTTTGTTGAAGCCAATCAAAGTAGTGTCTGTGTGTCCACATATACAATAGATTTTTCTTTGGCCATAAAGAAGAATGAGATTATGTCATTTATAGGGAAAAAAAAGGATGGAACTGGACATTACAATATTAAGGAAAATAAGTCAGACTGAAAAGACAACATTATACATTTTCTCTCATATGTAGAATACATATATAAAAGGAAAAAATGACATGAAGGTAGAAGTTGACTATTTGGGAAGAAGAAGAGAGACAGTAATAATGGATGAGGAAGACTAAGAAAAAATAATGGGGACTAAATATGATCTAAATGCATTATATACATGATGAAGATGAAACTCACTGCTTTTTATTTTACAAATATACTTTGATTGTTTTTAAGGGCAGACAACCAGTGTATCTCACCTTTGTTTAAGTCACTTTACAAAGTATAACTGCAAGGATAAGTTCAGAAAAACACAGACACTTTCTGGTAGCTAGTGGCATTTTTTATATCAAGACATACAGCAGGTGATAGCTACAACTTCCGTACTATTTACCTATCTGAATTTTTATCAACAGGCTACGCAAGAGTCCAATGAGGTGGGTGTGAGGTTGTTGCTATCCCCACTTAAAACTTAAAAAATGGTAGCAGATGCACAGCGGACTGCAAAATATATTACAAAACCACTAAAAACTCTGGATAGATCACAGCCACTTTGGGTAGCAAGCATCACTTTGGATGCTTTCCATGCATGCATCCTTTTTATTCATTTCTCTTTGGTGTGCTCTTACATTCTTCAGTAGCTTTTTCAAACCTCTGACATCTCCCAAGCTCCTAATATGACATACTTCCTTCCCCAACATGACATAATTCCTTCAAACGTACATGTAAGATAAGATATGTAACAGACAACACTGGACTAAGTTATCACTATGTAAACCCTATTCTAATTTCCCAAATTGGTACTCTCATCTCTCACTTACTGCTCTAGGCTATCCCTCCTGTTGAGTCCTCTATTCTTCTCTTTAAATCTTACTTGCAAAGATCCAAGAGTTCATCCTACTTCCTAATATTTCAGTTACATTCATTTCTGCAATCTCTCGAGTGACAGTATAAAGTTGTGTCGGTATCTACAAAGCTGGGTTCTAAGCACCTATTAAAGGAACAATGAATATTAAGGCCTATTTATGATAGGCTCTATTTATGTCAGCTATATGACTGATGGCTGATACACAGCCTCAAACTTCCATATTACTACCTGGATTCTCTTTTCTCCCAGTTTTCAAGTTTATTGGGAGGGGTTGATAGGGAGTAGGGGAGACACCAGGCAAACTTAGAATCATGGAATTTATAAACAGTGAAGGACTTACATATTAAAATCAACTTGTTTTAACACATGCTATCACACACCCTTTCTTGGAACAAACTTCTACAAACTAGATTAGGAAAAATTTCCAGTTATGAAAACTCGTCAGAGAATAGCTGGTCAATGTATGAAGAGACGATGTGCAGGAATTAACCCCATGCTGGCTATGTAATGTGTACTAAGCACTTCGCTGGACCATCAGTCACACAGGTAACTGTGTGTTAACCTTCTGAAGGCTTAGATTCTAGAAAAGCAGCTAAATTACAAACAAACAGCTTAATAATAACTACCTTAAGGCCATCTTGCTTTGAATGCCCCCAAGGAAAAGGCTACTCTATGCAAGTAGTTTTGCCACATGGAAAAGACACAAATTTATGGAGCTAAGATGCTGTATAGGGAATTTCTAATACCACGGTTTCTTACCTCAAATCTTTTTACATGTCCTGTTTCAGCCTTGACATCTTTATCCTCAAATCTTTAACTGACTGTTGTCCTATCTGAAGATTAACTTGGGCAATTCTATCCAAAGTTACAAAAGGACATTCCTTCTAAGTGTTCCAACTGCACCTTGTTCCTTTATGCCACTGCATAGCGATGAACATTCTGGATTGTGTCAGCTGATGCTCTAGTCTGAAAGCTCTGTGATGAGGAAGCATGTCGCTTTCACAGTCTGATGCCCAGCGTCTCTCTAAGAAGGAACTTAGTGTGCTCTATTAGGTAACAAAAGGAGCCTGTGGCTCACTTTAACGCCACTCGGGGAGAGTACAGCACTCCTACATAAACCACACTTCTCTTTGGGCCTCAGTCTCTGCACCTATAAAACGAAGTTACATGTGATTTTTAAGGTCTCTGTTGTTATCCAGTTGTTTGATGAGACTCTGAAGTAAGCTCTACTGTACTGACATGGTGGGGTGTTCGTGGAAAATGGAGAGCAGGCAGTACCAGGGAAGCACAGGCAGACCTTGAGCATACTGTCTACAGGAGAGAAGCACAAACCTGCCAGTCTCTCTCATCAAGTCTTCCTTTTATATTCCACAGGTGTCAGCAGGAGAAAATTATTCAAAGCGCACAGAAGTGGAAACTCAGTTTTAAAAAAACTCCCTGTTTGTGAAGACCCCAAGAACACCAATTTTTCTCCCCCACTTCCCATTTTAGTTTTATATGGCTTAGCTTTAAATTTTCAATTGTTTATAGCATAAGCAAAAAAAAAAAAAAAAAAAAAACAACACATTAAGGTTTGTTTTTATTACTTAGTATTTACTACAATAAAAAACCTGAAGAAAATTGACGGTTTTTGGAAAGGATAATTCAGGTGTTTCTGAATGCTAGAATTTTTTTCACCTAATTATTAAAAAATGCAAAGCCAAGAATACAAGATCATAGATCATAAGCCAAGAAAATACAGTTCACATGTTACACCCAAACAATCTCCTGGGGCTTACGGTCCACCAGCCTTCATTCTACCAGAAGATATCCCTGAGGAGAAAGTAGTTAACAATTAATTTAACACCATGTTGGGGAAAATGGTTTAGAAGTTATGTGAACAGTACAGAAGTCAGACACTGATGGTTTTATAATTTCTTAATTTTATCTGATATTTAGAAACATTCAATTATAGTTTTGATTTACTAAAATTTACATGGAATCATGGCAAAGCAGTACAACGGTGTCTGGTCTGCAGCCTGTGCAGCAGCCCCACATTTGAACTAACTCCTACGTGAAACAATTCCAAGATAACTGCAATGTTAGTTAACATTTGTAAGTATTTATGCTGAGAGTGGTTTAAGCATTTTAGACGTGCCAGCTCACTTCACCCTTCTGAGGTGGGCATTACTTTCATAGTATTAAAGGATAATACCACTTCCTTCAGTTGGCAAATGAGATTGGAAGAACAGAGATTGGAACCTAGGGCCCTGAAACCTTGCGTCTAAACTTTAGGCTTACCACTTCCTTGAACACAGAAGGAAGCACTGTATTTGTTTCAAAGGGGTAATAGACACAAGAATGAATAAAGTACAGAATGGAAGGTGAAGACAGAGGACTTGGCAATACCAAGGCTCAAAGACTTAGCAGAGAAAGACTGTGCAAAAAGGAAACAGAGAAGGGGCAGCTGCTAGCAGGAAGAAACCAGGCAAAGTTAGTGTCAATAAGCCAAGACAGTGTTCAACATGACGACAGAAAAATGTATTGTAGTAAATGACAGATTATTTGTGGTTTTGCTGTGAACAGCTTCAGATGGCATATCCAGATTAGAACCATACTGGAGTAATCGAAGATGAAAGTGAACACAGAACATGGGTTACACTAAAATTCTAGTTGTGACGGGGAGAAGCCATAACACATTTAAGAGGTGGAAATTTAACTGGGTGTGGTGTGACATGGATTTAAGAAAAAGGAAGGAAGGAAGAGAGGAGGAACTGAGTTGGTGCTTTAGATCTAGCCAACTGGGAGGAAGAAGCTGATTTCTTTAAAGAAGTTTAGAAAATTCTATAATACTGTCCACTTGCTGTAAGCGAGAATGACACTCTTTATAAACAAGCTCAAAGATAATGCAGGAAGAAACTACACACAGTAAATGCATAAAACAAACAATAACCCTATTGGTTATTTCTACTATGAAACTATCACACAGGTAGAGAAACAAACTGTCCTTGGTTAAGGAGGGAAGGCCACAACAGAGCAGGTGATAGGATGAGGAGGGAGAGGGGACAGAGTTCCTTAAGGATAAGGCAAAGCAATCTGTGGAGGAGGAACTAACAGGATGGGCCACTTTATCAGTAGCGGAGCTTGTGAGTGTGTGGGGGACTCCAAACCCCAGAGCTCTGCCATGTCTCCATTAAGGTTCTGCACAGTAAACAGAGCCCTTCTCTGTCTCAGTTCAAGGCAGCATGCTGAAAGAGTTAATGCCTATCAGTTGTAGATTAACTAGAGTGGCTGGAGAGGTGGGATGTGGGCTTGACCTCATGTAGGAAAATGGAAGCAAGAGTACGACATTTTTAGAGCATATAAGGACCAAGGGACTAGATTTCTTGAAGAAGAAAAGGTGAAGCAGCAGGAACTAAAGAAAAATTTTGAGAAAAATAGCTATATTCAAGCTCTCACAGGTTAACACAAGAAAGCAGGAAATTAAATGTATACTTAGAATGAAATCATCACAATGATCGAAAACTTCGAAATCTTAAGTGACACAATATGGGGGTATTTACTAGCTATAGGATTAGGCTAGAAGGTTTCAGACAGAAAGTAATTATTGAACTGAGATGTGCAAGACAAGTAAGGGTCAGCCACAAGCAGAGGGGAGAGGGTGGACTCTAGGCTAAGAGCTTGAGCAAAGCTCAATGAATGAAAAATACAAAAAGGCAAAAAGACTGGGAAGCTGTGGTTGGTGGGTTGTTCAGAAGGAAAGGGGAGTCAGCAAACACAAGGAACACAACCACAGTCAATGAGAACAGCAAACCAATCAGCAGCTACAGCATTCTGAACATGCAGGGTACTGCTGTCCAGGATTAGTAAAAACACTAATACCTTACCTTTGAACGGAATGTTGGATGAACGAAATAAACAGCCTTCAAATTCCTCTTGTATCTAATTAAAACAAAGTCACCATAAGTCACACTGAGAATTACTCATCAGTATAGACAATCAACATTTTAACTGAGTATATAAATATGTTCACACAGAGAAAAAGATCTTAAAAGCAGCAGGAGTAAATATAGTGAAGTTTGAGTAAAATGTCAAAATGATTTAGTGAACATTTCATTGTTTAAAGTGTCTATTTTAAAGGAAGCACTAACTACTGCCTCTGACTGTGACAGAGCTACCTCAAGGAAGGACAAAAATCAATTCATACTTCTAAAACAATTGTGCATTATTCTTATACTATGGTAGGGTCTCTGAGCTCAAATATAAAAAGTTAAGTCACCTTGAAATCACCAAAATTATAGCAAGAGTCAAAAACTAAAAGTTGTAGTCATGCTGCAAGTTACTGCATGACCCAGAAAGTCTATGAAGGGTTTGCACTTTGTACTTAATCCTCTCGAGGTTCTGAGAAGAGCATCAGTACGGCCTCTACGATAATACTCAGTGATCTGACGACCACGAGGCAATGCCTAGAACCCAACCTGGGCCTCAGCAAACTACCCCATCAGCTGTGTGAGGTATGTCTTGAGATTTTGTTTTCCAGTAGTTAAATAATCACCATTGCATCCTATGAGGTGAACTGTGAGGGACTTCCAAGAAATGGCAGAACTGTGCCAGCTGAGGGCTGTGCCAGCGAAGGGCTAGTTAGAAGCAGAAGTAGGTATACAGTGGAGTGCAGCTTCATTACAAAACACTTTAAAGCACACCCAATAGGTGTCTGTGAGATAATGAAAGCATTAGTATTGCTAATTAAGAGACTTAATAGAGGGTGGAGGACAATGGAAATTTATGGTAATTTACCTTCTTTGTTCCCTAACTAGATAATGGTTTTTCAACCTAACCAATAAAGATACTGTGATGCTACAAATAAAAGAGTTACTGGAAGGCAGAATGCTGTTTATTTAGGAAATGTATCACTGAGAAAAAACTTATAGCAAGGGAAACATAGTATAATGAAAATAATTTTCCATTACTAAGTCAGTAGTCTATTAAATCTAAAATTCTGTACATAAAATTGTGACACTGAGGGCATTAAAAGCCCAATCTTTCTTTATTCTCCCATTTTCCGGGTGTAGAAAACATTAGAAGATAGCAGGGACACTCCATAGGACTAATGCCCTTGATCCATAAAGCCTGTCACGCCCAGTTCTCTCCTCCCTTGTTAATTCCATATGGAATGTGCCTGTCCCTCATGCTAAAGTCAGCATGCCTCCAGACTCCTGAGTAAAGTCAGGGTGTCTCATCTTACATGGAAATCCACTAACACCACAGGAAGTTCTGTCTTCATGACTAATCAACCCCCAATCCCCCATGAACCCCATAAATGCCTGCTCTTTTCTATCAGTCGGCAGCCGGTATCCCCAAAACAGTGTTCGAAAGAGGAAACTCTTGCTCACTCTCTTGTTCTAATGAAAACCTTTACCTGTGAGTTTATGTTCAGTTTCTATTTTTATTTCTAATCACAGGGACAAGTTGCCTTGAACCTTTTACCAGTATCTCTCCCAATAGACTCATGGGCTACTGGATCAAATTAAACAATGTTTATAAGTATACTCTGGTTTGTATTAACACACCATAACAACTAAGGCTGTACTTTCATTATTTTATACACAAAGCCTGGGTAGACTCCAAACCTCCTTCAAGGTCAAAAGTGGCAAGATTACAAATGAGTTTAGTTTAATGCAAAAGGAGAGCCGCCTATATTTAAAATATCTAATGTATTTATGATAAAAATTATTGTCATATGAAACACCCTTTAAAAATATTTACAAATGTTTGCTATTGCTTAGTGTTAAAAATAAAGAAGCAATACCCCCTTAACAATTTCCGAAAATAACTAACTTGACATCAACAACATGGTAGAGTTTCTTCAGGAAGTCGGAGTCCAGGTGATTGTATTCGCTGGTCAGTGTGTGAAAATACACCAGTACATATTCCTTCACAGCAATGTGATCCATTACATGGATAAAATATAAGAGAGCCTAAGAGAGAAGAAAGAGCACTTTTTCACAGCAGTTCGCGTCACAGAGGCCAGGAGAGGGGGACCCTCCCCTAGGGTTAATCTAATCTATACCCTTAGTGTAGGGGCAGACTGGAAGATCGGGTTGGTGAGAATCCGTTTTCTTAGAGAACCCCTGTATTTAGGGACACTCTCAAAGGCTGTGCCAGCTCCTTCTCCGAGGGGTTTTAAGTGAAGGAAGAGGATAAATTAATCTCTGGCTTTTGAAATAACTCTTCAGAAAGAACGCTTGGATCAGCTACCAGGTTTCTCCCAGCTAGGATAACGATGTCGAAACATTTAGAAGTAAGATTTAATACTTCTTAAAATTTTAACAAAATCTCCTATTCTTAAAGTTTCTGTTTGCATTCCATCAAGATCTCTGCGTTCTGGTTCAGACACAGACTCAAGCCCCAGAGCACATGATGTATCCAGCCGCTCCTTCCACACTCCCATGGAAGCTCATTTACTTAGCACTCTTAATACTTATCTGAGTGAGGAAAGTGGAGGGCTTTGTGGGTGGTTGGCAAGACACTGCGCGACATTGCTAGAACTCAGGAGGATGATCTAATATGACCCTGTTTGGTTAGGGAGGTATTCTATTTTAAGAAATTTAAGAGAGACACTAAAAACAAAATGAGAAATATAACCCAAGCAGGGCTGATGTGACCCAGTGGTTTGGCTGTAAGCAACTGCAAAGAGGAAGCCGAAAGGATTATCATCAACCATGTTGTTTTCCAATTCCTCCTCAGTGGAGTCCTTGGCATTAACATGGATTAGGACCAAACTGCAGGCACAGTAGGCAGAGGACATTAAGAACACAGTTGCCTTGTATGTTACCTGGTTTGAACCTCACAATAGGTCTCATATTCTAAAGACATGAAAGGACATGCAATATGAGGAGTGCTATGCAAGTACACACCGAGCTCAAAAGAGGGTTATGTTCTTATGGGTAAGTCATGCTACTGCTGTAAAACATCTGTATTAGGAACACAAATGGCTGCAAACAGGATCATACAATGTCATTCTTACCAGGTGAGTCTTTCTGTGAATAAATTTGTCCCTAATATTCCTACTCTTTCTCTCATCTGACTATGTCTTTGTACTTTCCATCCATTTTTCATTTTTATGCTTAAGCCAATTAGGACACTCCTTTTGTCTTCAAATTCTCTATCTTTAAAGTTATTCTACTGTTATTTATAGGGCTAGCCAACAAGAGAAAGCTGCAGAAGGCAAAAGAAAACTTTTTTTTTTCCTTTTCAAGTGTGTGTGTATGTGTGTGTGTGTACACCATGTGTGTAGGGACACACACAATGGCATCAGATTCCCCGAAGCTGGAGTTATAGGCAATTGTGGGCCACCCACTGTGGGTGATGCAAATCAACCTGAGTCCTCTGGAAGAGACTTACCCACTCTTAACTGGTAAGCCATGTCTGCAGCCCCAAAGGAATCCATTTTGAAATACTTGCTTCCACCTTCACTTAATTATTAGCTTCCCCTATTGACACATCTCTCCTCTCTATTGTATTCCCTTCAAGCTCTCCCTTTCCCTCTTGCCCCATGTTGGAGACTGAACCCAGGGCTGTGGAGGCTACATGAGCTACTCTGAGGCAATCCACAGCCTCTTAGAACCATAGTTTTTTAAGGGTCACAGAACATTCCATTTGCAGGTGTGCCATAATCAGCTGTTGGAAATTTAAGTTATAAGTTTTGCTACAGAGGACCCCGTAAGATACCAGGCTCACTGATTTCACATATTCACCCAAATACTACTGACCAAAAGTTTGAGAGCTTAGCCGGAAGTACTGATCAGCATTGAAGCAGCTGTGCTTTATCTTAAAATTTTATGTACTTTCTCATCTTTAAGTATGCTATGTATACTGTGGTTAATACACATGGGTCAGTTACAACTTATTTTTTGTAGTTATTTTCTAATGAAATTGATGTTTTAGGGATATATATTAAAATATATATTTATGTGTTATATACACTTATATGTTATATATATATTAAGGTATACTTTAATAGAACAACTTTTATCTATTCTTTGGCAATTTCATATACATAAACAGTGTATCATATCCACTCCCATATTCTAGGCACCCCAACATGCCCTGCTCAGTCCTTCATGCCCTTTTTCTTTTGTAGCAGTATGCTGAGTTCAGTTGGTGCAGTTGCTATGGTGCTGCCTGAGGAGCTCTACTTAGCTCATGGGCAGATGAGTGCATCACACTCAGCAGTTACAGGATTTATGGCTCCATCTTCCCTGGGAGTATTTTCTTAGTATAAAGTCTCAGGAATCACTGGGTCGATGAATACAACTTTTTATAGTTTCAATTCATCGTTGGTGACAACACTTTTTATTTACAAGTTCTTGCTAATTCTCAAGATAAGAAATTACTTTTTTGAATATTACTTTTTATATTACTAGTTAAGCTGAACAATTTCTTCCTTTTATTTAACAGTTTCAAATAGTTCTTTCTTTTAGGATCTTCTACATCTGTTCTGTGGTCTGACATGAAGGGATGATGGAATTATATTATCTTGCTATAGTGGATAAACTATGTCTCTGGTTTATTATTTTTAAGTAGATAATCAAATGTTAATTTTTTCTTTTTTTCAAATAAGCTCAAGTCTGATTGTATAGTTACTATGCAGGGTGTTTCTAACCAAAAGCTTGCTGGTTATGTTATATCCAAACAGAATAGCTGTGTTTCTGGAGTGTAGTACCAGAGCTTTCTGCTATCTGTTTCTCCCAGAGAGGAGAAGCAGCCTCCAACTGACCAGAAATGATGCACACTGACTCTCAGGAAATGGTGTTCTACAGACCCACAATACATCTCACCTGTGCTGCAGACCCTAATTACCAATACCATACTCTTGTGACTTTATACACCCACCTGATTTGCAGAGCAAGCATTTATGGCTTACCTTGTCCATATCTATCAGGGTCACAGGAATGTTTCTTCCAACCACCACCATCACTGTGCGGCCACAGTTATCCACACCTGCAGGGGAGATGCAGTCAAGTCAGGACCAGGAACCTTATCACAAGATCTGTGTTTGTCCTGTTAAATGCTTATGTATTTGACTGCATAAAACAATTTCACACATTCAAATGGTAAGAAATGATATGCACAAGCTCCTTAAATTATATCATTAGATTTCCTTTACTGTTAAGGAAATACTTTCTTTGTCTTTGTTTAAAGGTTTTAAAATAGCATAACCTATAGTCTTTTTTTTTTTTTTTAAATAAATAACCATTTTGCTTAACCTCACCCAAACTTTTAAAAATATTAGTGACCCAGGACATGCTGGAGGCTCTCAACTGAAAATCAGCAGGTAATGCCTAAAACAAAATCCAATGGAGGAAGTATAGACTGGAGAGTGCTATAAGGCTTGAATTTTGTATTGACAAATGCATAGGACTTTTTAGAAGCAGAAAACATTCTAACAAAAAAAGCATCCCAGGAAAAAGTAAAACAGGCACTGCCGAGACCATTAGAACACACTAGAGGTTAATACAGTGTCTAAATGCATACGTCATGATGTGCAAACCTACTGACATCAGCACAAAACACTGTATTCATAGAGAAAATGAGAGAAACCAAGTCTCTCGCAGCACAATGAGTCAGGTCTTTAGTAAGCAAGAATAATAAGTGACCATTAAGCTTACCTGTTTGGTATAAGGCTTTCAGAGAAGCAATATCAGACAGGTCTTCAGATCTTGCTTGGCATAACCAGCGATTATAACTAGACAAATAAAGGATACAATCATCTGTAATGGAAGTTTTGGTTTCTTTACAAACTCAGTTATGTTATGTTAACACGTTTTTGTTATCCCCCAAGTGTGGGATTTTTTTTGTTCTTACTTAGAAAAATCATTTATTTCTGCTCCTTTCATACATCATGTTGCTCAGGAAACAGTCTCCTATGTCCACACACACCATTTAAAGACAAAGCACCGCTGCAGGGACTGGCCAGTCGTCCAAATATCTCAGCTCTCGAAATACACTTCCCGATTTGCATTAACATTAACTTCTGAAAATCAGAAATATGATGTCCAAAAAATGATGAGGGGACTGTAAAAAAAATCACTTTATTCAATACCAAAGTTTTAGAAGTGGAGAAATGTTTTCCTTAAGAAATAAAAAACTAAAAAGAAAATGCCACTTGACATAGCTGGTGACTGGAATAGATCATCAGAAAAAATACTGTAATGAACATGTCTCTGATACCAGGAATTCCAGTCCTAGCTTTCATATGCTTGCTAGGGTGTTACTCAATGCTGCTTTTATGCTGCTTTTCATTCTTTTCCACATTGCACACGGGAGTGGTTTCATCCTTCAAAGCTTTATTAATGGGAGCAGACCGGGATCCACTGATTTCTCCTCAAGACACACTAGCCTATCAGGTAGCCCAGTAATTTCATTCTCAGGAATACTCCAGCCATAAAGAAACTCAGTAGGACACAGACGAAGCCAATGAAAAGAAGAAAGCTATTGGGTTTTGGAATATTTGGTGCATTGGAATGGTCCAGGATTATGAAACCTAAGCCTCCCATTGTAAACAAAAAGCTAGATGCAAATCCTTCCATAATATACTGTCCATTTACTCTGTAAGCCAAGAAAGCTACTGGTTTCTGATGCCCATGTTCATCTGTCATTGAGCCAACACTTGGAGGTTCAACGATAACATCATAGATTATTACCACCAAGGCGTACACCATCATGGCAGGCAGCATGTGCACCCAAGGCGGCTTCTTCAGCTTCAAGATGGGGCATTCGAGCACTAAGAAAGGGACCCGATACAGACTATCCATGTCGGCAGTAAGGCCGGCCCTCTGGCCTCCAGCTGCTCGAGCCGCCTGGAAACACGCCCCCCAAGTATGGGATTTTAATTTGTCCACAGCTGATAATTGCCTCAAGAAGGGGTATAGTTTTTGCCAAGCTGGAGTTAGTTGAATTCTGAGGACTTTGAAGGGTATAACTATAGTAGCCCAGAGGGAGAAGGCAGTGGCCTGGAGGAGTCAAATAGAGGACTGCGTGGTGCATTTGCTGGTTTGTTGGTTACCTGGACTTCTGGGTATCTTGACGGCTGGGATTGGTATTGCACCACCTAGACTTGTTCATGTGCCACTATTACCCAGAGATAGTCACACTGCTCACTTCCCTTCGTTTTCTGTTCTGGTTTCTGTGTATTGGTACAATAAAGATACACAATCCTCTATTCCAATCCCAAACAAAGTCAAAGGCTACAAAAGAAAAACAGCAGTCAAAATAGTTACCATAGCTTATTTGAGTGAATATCCCTGTTATGTGCTGGGCAAAACATAGCCATCACATATAAACTATCACATAAAGCAAGGTGTGATGGCAGAAAAACCACTGGACTCAGCCACTAGGCTGCTCCTCAAGGAATAAATACAGTTCTTTTCCAGTGGTTTGCAACTGATTTAGGTTGCACATTGTCCCCACAAAGCTAACATAAGCCAGTTTCTTCCAGTTAATCAATTACTATCCATCTACACAGCTAAAGGCTGAATGCTGAAGAAAATGTAAACAAAATCACTCTCAGAAGCACAGGGCCTGCATGGGTCTATACCAGGTCCTTCATGTATGTCACAGCTGTTAGCTTGGTGTTTTTGTGGGACTCCTAACAATGGAATGGGTGTATCTCTTGACTCTTTTTTCTGCTCTTACAACTCTTTTCTTCCTATTGGGTTGCCTTGTCCATCCTCGATATGAGGGCTTTTGCCTTGTCTTATTGAATCTTGTCTTGTCTTTTTTAGCTGTTTTCTCTTGGAGGCTGTTCTTTTCTGAAGTGGAAAAAGAGGGAGAGTGGATCTGGGGGAAGGAGAGGTGGGGGATTGAGAGGTGTGGAGGAAGGGCAAACTGTGGTTGGGATGTATGGTATAAGGGAAGAATATTATTTTCAATAAAAATACACTAATTTTTAAAAAACTTCAGTAACTGACCTATTCAGACACAGCCCATTGTTTGAGGGACAGTTCAGCCTGGAATTTACGAGGTTTTCAGGACTGATGCAAACGTTAATCCTACACACAGTTTCATCCTTTTGTCCTTTGAGTCCTGCTTCACCTCATTCACTATAAATGAATTCGGGCACTGAGTGTGTGGGGGAGGGGGCTAAGCTCTGCAAGAGCAGGGCTATACCTGCCTTGCTTGTCTCTGCATCACCAGATGTACTCCAGCACAACAATGGCTATGCTAGTAAGGATGTAATACTTAGTAATTAACGGAATGGTGCCTTTGTATGAGAAGTGAAGTGACCATCTTGGGCAACTGGATATGAAGCCTAACAAGGACAATTAATGAAAGGAAACAAATTATTTTAGTGAAATCATCTTTTCCTTATTTTCCAAAGACTTTCAAAAGCTGTATTTTTTGAGAAGTTGCTAGTTTGCTTCCTAATAACTTCTATCTTATGATGTGTCCAATTTGCTCACAATGGACAAAACACTTAGACACATCAATAAAAGAACAAGGGGTCTTTTCTCTTTTTCAAGGTTTAGAAAAAACTGCTGCACAGACATTGATGTGGCACAGCAGCACAGTGAAGGAACAGGAAGGAGACATCAGTGGAGGGACAGCTGGTTTTCAAAAACATTACTAATCAAACATTTCCTTTAGCAGACAAAAGTGTTGACGTCTCTTCATCCTGGTCAACATAAAGGGACTGCATACTGAATGTAAAGAGCCTGCCTCAGGAGAAGCAAAAGTATACCTTTCTAAACTCTATCCTGCAGTCTTTTTTTTTTAAATTAAATTTTTATTTTTTTATATTAATTACATTTTATTTGCTTTATATCCCAGCTGTAGCCCCCTCCCTCAGTCCCTCCTAATCCCACCCTCCCCCCATTTCCTCTCATGCCCCTCTCTAAGTCCACTGATAGGGGGCTGAGGTATCCCAGAAGCAGAAAGACACACACGGTATATACTCACTTACAAGTGGATACTAGACCTATAAGATAGGATAAACATACTAAAATCTGTACACCTAAAGCTAAACAAGAAGGAGGATCCAGGGTAAGATGATCAATCCTCACTCAGGACAAATGGGATGGACATTGGAAGAAGGAGAAAACAAGAAACAGGACAGGAGCTTACCACAGAGGGCCTCTGAAAGACTCGACCTAACAGTGTATCAAATCAGATGCTGAGACTCATAACCAAACTTTGGGCAGAGTGAAGAGAACCTTATGAAAGAAGGGGGAAATAGAAAGGCCTGGAGGGGACAGGAGGCCACAAGGAGAACAACAGAACCAAAATATCTGGGCATAGGAGTCTTTTCTGAGACTGATACTCCAACCAAGGACCAAGGTCCATTCATAGATATAACCTAGAACCCCTGCTCAGATGTAGCCCACGGTAGCTCAGTGTCTAAGAGGGACTCCTAGTAAGGGGAACAGGGACTGTCTCTGATATGAACTCAGTGGCTGACTCTTAGTCCCCCCCTCCAAGGGAGGAGCAGCCTTGCCAGGCCACAGAGGAGGACATTGCAGCCTATCCTGCAGTCTTAAACATGGTGGAACACTGGCTTCCAGCTCCACCATATCATAAATCCAACAGTCATCAGTTCTAAACTGTTTGGTCTCAGGACCCCTTTATGTTTATATGTACCAATTTCACCATATTAAAAAGAACAGAAATCTAAAAGCATTTACTTATTTAATTTAAAAACAACAAAAATGATTATCTGAATATACTTTTTAATGTAAAAACCAAAAGCCAACAACTGTGCTTAGGAAGACAGTTCTCACAGTTGTCTTTAGTATCTGCTAGACTCCGTGCTCTAGCCTGAATGCGGTCTCCCACCACAGTTCAGGTTAAGGCGCCTCAAAAACTTGACCGAACATTGTGAGGATAAGAATAAAAAAGGAAAGGAAGTCTTAGTGACATAATGAACACAGTTTGACCTCACGAGCCCCTTAAGGGCACTAGGTCCCTGGGCCACATATAAGTGCCGTTACCACTATTTCAGCAAAATAAGCAGGAGCTCATGGGCCTCAGGATGAGTCCTCACAGCTACAGCCACACAAAACCTTCATTTAACCTTTCTCTCTCACAATGTGGTAAGAGAAAAAGTAACTAACCTGAGCTCTGCATCAATCAGATGGATCATCTGAATCCAGCAAACGGCTTCTGGGAAATGACATCCCCACCACCACTTCCTGCAGTCTCTCTACACTTCTAGCTGAGTGCTGCCTAGACCACAAATACTTCCAAGCTTGAACTGCCAAACTTATTTTCTCTGAAGTTTTTCTTCTAGCAGCACTCTGAAGCGCTCTGCATTACAGACAAGGACCTCATCTTAGTCTCACAAAGGACACATAAATGGGAAGCAAACAATCTTTTCATTCACTATAGCTTTACTGGCTGGCAGAGCATTCAGCCTTTGTTTTGTGCTGCAGGCTTTGCTGCCACTAAGTGGTAACTGGATATGCCCAATACCCTGCTGTCTCACTGTGCAGAACTTCTGCCTTAATGTACTCAATACCTCTGACATCCAAGATGTAGCTCACTCAAATTTTCTGGATCCTCTTATTTATGTCTACATCCAGGATATGTTCTTATAGAGGAAGTATCTAATGTCTAACACACTTGACTCTACAGATCAAGGCCTTCCACTAGAAAAGGGTACTGTTTTACAAGCCGTATACATTCTTTCCCAGAACCTACTCCTTTTCTGGGGGCAATGTTACAAAAAAAAAAATGCAGACTTAGTACATACATGCTCAATTTAATACTGGCTTGAACTAGTAGTTAGCAAGTGAAACAAACATACTCCTGTAGAAAAAAATGAGATAAACAGCCAGACTGGAAAAAAAAAATTCAGACTCGGTCATCTCGTGGAAAATGGAAAGTCAGTGGACATGAGGGGAGACAGGAGGGGGGGACAGAGAGAAAGAGCATGCATGGCACCTATGCAGAAGTCACGAGATAAACAAAAAGTTCTCTCCCTCAGCATGTGGGAGAAACCCAGGCACCAAACTCAGATAGTCAGGTTTGGCAGCAAGCACCTTAAACCACTGAGCCATCTCTAAGGTGAATATAATGCTCCTGCCATATCAAGAAAAAAACCCAGCAAGGCTAACTTTTTGCTCCAGTGACAAAATGAGCCCAATATACACTTCATGCACTTGACTGTGGAAAGGCTGTATTTTCTTGACATTCACTTATTTACTTATTTTGAGGCAGGGTCTCATTATCTAGCCCTGGCTGGCCTGAAACTCAAAGAGATCCACCTGCCTCTGCCTCCGCATGCTGGAATCAAAGGGGTGTGCCACCACACCTACCTTAGAAGCGTGGCTTTTGCACTAGTGCTAGGATTAACACATCTAGATACTGTACATTGATGCATATTGATTCAATTATCTCAGTGAATTCCTGCTTTCCAAAAGACCTATGCATCACACCATAAAGCCATGTTCACAGGGCATAAGCCAGTGTATTTTAAAACAGTATATGAAAACACGGATTGGAGCAGAGATGGTACAAGAGAGTCAAGGCACTTGCCGCCAGGTTTGGCAACATGAGTTTGATCTCTAGGAGCCCACATGGCAGGAGAGAATTTCTGTAAGTTATCCTCTGACCTCTGCATGCTATGGTGAATGGGTAACACACACATTCACATCTATACACAGCCCCACACATATGTGCACCCACGCAAGCATACATACACACACGCAAGTAAGTAAATACAAAAAAAAAAATCATGAGTATGGTTTGAGATCCAATATTAGAACTAAACTTTAAGAAACCATCATTTATCAAATTCTATGCACTGCCCAAAAACATATCTAATTCCTTGGAAGTCTTTAAAAGTACTTCTTTGCTTCTGATTCTATACTTGAGTAAAGTAATTTTCCTCATATAATTTATTCAAAATAACTTTAACAACAATTTAAATGATGCTATTAGATTCTGATATGGTAAGTGTCGATAGATACAACCCATGTGGACACAAGCCCTCTGGGATATTCCGCCATTTATAAGAGTGCAAGGGGGATTTGAGAACCACAAAGAACTCACAAAATATGACATGAACATTTTAAAAATGCACACACAGAGTCAGATCACGGTGGTATGGCAAAGGCGCCTAGTCAGAGTATTTAAAGAAAAGTTAGACACTACTGTCACTTGATTCATCCTTTGGAAAACTTGTTCACTGGTTCCCCCTAGTGGCAAATCAGCTTTTTTAATGCGAATAAAATCAGTAAGGTGAAGACCTGGGACTAAGGAGACAGACATTTAATTCTGGCTGGGAGAGAGGGAGCTAAGTTGCGCAGGCTCCAGTAAATAACCTTTCTCCCAATCTAATGGCACCAACCCCACAAAGTCAGCAGGCTACAAAACAGAACAAGACACGAAAGAAGAGGAGGGGCTTACTGGGAAACAGTTCAAATGAGAGCAGGAGGGGATGAGAGAGGGCAACAGGAGGTGAAAATGACAGAAATATATCATATGAAGCTCTCAAAGAAATAAAAATATATAAAAAGTTATGTCTGAAAGGGACTCCTCAGACTGTCTAGTCCAACTCCCATTCTATAACTGGAGAATGAAGGAGACTGTGCCATATAATACAGTATGATACGCTGTGCCAGGCTGTGAAAAAAACAAAGCATAAGAGGCAGGTATTTATTTTAGATCCAACAGGTACGGTTTGAGAGCCATTTGCTTTTCAGTTTACACCCTGAGAATGGACAGGATTGAAGGAAAAATGATCCCAATCAAAATGAATGGCAGGACCAAAGTTCCAAAGCAAGACAGAGCAGATTAGCTGGGTACTGAAGAAAGCTGCAGTGCCGTGCCTTAGGGAGCTTGCTGAGTTCCAGGAGCCGTGTTCCACTCAGTGCAATCATCTGATGCTCACAGCCTATCACACGGTATCCTTAACCAGCCCTGTGAGGGAATGGCTAGCCATGTACAATTTACCTTTGTCTTTAAAAATATGAAAGGCAGCCAGCCTTACTATCAATCTTTGGAAAAACACAAGTTAAAAATCTCCATCTATGATTTCCAAAGGATTCATTCAAAATTGCTTTAGTGTTAGAAACACTTGGAGAACACAGACTGTAAAGTTCCTCAGGGTAAGTGGGGGAGACATCTCTTCAGCTGAAGAGAACTTCAGCGGCTTCAGTTATAACACACAGCAGAAACCTGTAAGTGCCTTTCCTGGCTCCTGACTTCCATGTTTAGAATGTACCTTCACACAGAGGCACGGCAACTAGAGCTCACAGCAGCGTACAAAGTCTGCAAGCAGTCATGCATCTCATCGCTGCTTCCTACACTAACTGATTTAACTTTCTGCTCTGCATCTGCAGTGTGGGAAGGGGACGTCCTACTCGGTTGTCACGAAGATTAAACAAGAGGAACTGTGTGGGTATAGAGGATTCCAGCAGGTGCCACACCCCTTTCCCAGCCGCATCCTATCTAGCTGTCTGAGCAAGTCTGCCTTACTTTCTTTGATGCTGCTTCTGTAGGGCAGCTTCAGACAACTGTCCCTGGAGGATCAGTTTTCTTTGCTTGTCAATATCTCCTTCCATTCGAGCAAAAGCATGCGAGCCAATGAAAGACAGATCCATTCCCAAGCCGTCATCCTCATCTTCTTCTTCATTGTCTGTAACAAAAAGCACCATTAGCAGAGAGCTACAAGAGCACACAGCAAAATCAACTCTGAGTACTGCAGGAGGAAGGACTGTGAGGTAACAACAACAAAAAACAAAACAAAAACAACAACAAAACAGAGCAAAACACCCCTCAAACCCAGGTTAAGATTATGACCCTAAAATAATTTAGAAATCTGAGGTCCTGAAATAATGAGAGAAAAATAACTACTACATTCTCTAAACTGATTCATGATCAGGCCCAGCAAGCACTGTGTGCACCCTGTCTCCATTCAAGGGGTTTATAATCTTATTTGTGTGAAGCTGATAGAAACTACTTACAGGATAGACTCAGGAAAGCTCTCATCCAAACATATTCTCTCTGCCTATAGCTTTAAACCTATATGAATATAAAACCTAAAGAAATAACATGGTTATAGCGTTATTAGCTTATTTAATGCTAACTGCAGCTTTTATACGGCATTCCCACTCTTGAATCCCCAATACAAGTCCTGTATCTTTGCTGGCTGGTGTTTTACCAGTACGCTATTTTCTGAAGGGAAATTTATGGAAGGCAAAGGCTGAACATTATACATTGCTGGTATGGAAATCACTATGAAAGTTTCTAAAAAAGCTTAAAATAGAATTACCACTGACTTGACTATAATTCCTGAAGATAAACCTCCAAGTAGTTGGTAAGCGTACCACAGAGATATCTGCTCATCTGGGTATCTGTGCACTATCCACAATAGTCAAGTATGGGATCAGTCTAGAAATTCATAGAGGAAGGGGTAAAGTGGGATATACACATATTACACACCAGAGCGTTAGTCAGCCCTGAAATATGAGGAAACTGTGATCTGCAGGAAAATGGATGGAACTGGACATCGTTTTGTTAAGCAAAATAAGCCAGGTGCTGAAAGACATATATCACATGGCTTTTCCTCATGAGGAATCTAGATTTTATACAGATGTAACATGCCAGTGTGTGTGGGCGTGAGCACTCTGAGAGAAGAGACCAGCAGGAGCAAAATAACAAAAGAAGAATGATGCATGACCATGACAAAATAAATGCCATACCTGTATGAGAAGGTCAGAAAAGAACCCATAATTTATATGGTCTGAAGATGAGGAATTTAGAATCCCAGCACTCACCCTCCGAAGCCCCGGGCTTCTCACTTATTCTAATTTGCCGCTCAGGCACCACAGGCTCCCCTTCTGCATTTCCGATGTCTGCAGGTAGGTAAGGCAGTGACTGGCTCTCCTCCTTTAACGACCTTGGGAAGTACAGAGGTAGCAGCTTTTGGTAAGTGGCCTGTGTCAGAAAAGTAAGGCACTCTGTGAAGAACAGTGAGGTACGGAAGCAGTCTGAGCAGCGCTGACTGTGGCGCACATGCCGTGAAGGGTTTGCCAGACCCTGAGCGGCACAGCGCTATATGCTGAAGCTAGTATACCGGTCTCTATTCGACCCAGGGGTAGTTTTCAGGTTTTTGGGGGGATAAATAGGGGATGGGTTTGAGACAGAGTCTCTCTGTGTAACAGCCCTGCTGTCCTGGAACTCTAATCTGTAGACCAGTCTGGGTTTGAACTCACCGAGATCCATCTGCCTCCCAAGTGCTAGGACTAAAGGTGTGTGTCACCACTACCTGCTAGGTTTTTACGTTTTATTTTTTAAATTTCTAAGTATTTTTGAAGGACTGATAGTTTTCACTCATTCTTACAAATTAAGAAAAAAAAAAGATAAATTTTACTTAGAAAAAGAAATAAGGGGCCCATGAGATGGCTTCATAGAGAAAGGCCACCGAGTCTGGTGACCTGAGCTTGATCCCTGTGACCTACTGACTCCTGAAGGTCATTCTCTGATTTCCACACTCACATTTCCCCTTAACCTTGTCCAAAATAAAATATATAAATAAATCTATTTTAAAAAATTAAGGAAAGCGATAAAGGTGGGAGATGAATGAGAACAAACTATTAACATACAAAATGAAGGTCATGCAATCTGTTGGGCTTTCAGACCTGAGACAAGCAGCTGAGGTGCCTCTTTAACTAAAGTGGACCTGGCCTCTAGGTCCTCCCACATCCCTCAGTCCCACATCTTATATCCTGCCCTCAGCGCTGAACTTTTCAGCCCATGGAAGAGGTCTTCCCCTCCCCCAGAGGCTCTTCACTATATAATCCAAATATTTTGGTTCTCTGCTCTCTCTCTTTCTGCAATGACTCTCCCTGTTCTCTTTCTCTGCTTTTTCTCCTCTCTTTTTCTGTGCTCACCCCCCCACGTGTGTGCGTGTGTGTGTGTGTGTGTGTGTGTGTGCGCGCGCGCGCGCACATGTGGGAGCTTTTTCTCTGCCCCCGCCCCTCCCCTTTCTGTCACCTGCTGCATGGAGACTTCTCTGACCCAGTTCCTTGGAACCTGTGAACCTGCTCAGAGTTGCCTCCAATAAACCTGCATTTATAAACTCTAATCTGGCTTGAATTAGCTCATTCCATCGGGTGGAAGAATGCTTATCAAAACCATTATTTTGTAACCTAACCTATTAATTAATAAAGTAAATACAATGTGCTAAAGTAAAACATAGAGTAAGGTGTACTCTATCTTACGATTTCCAAATGTGTGGTCCCTGTGCTCAGTTACAGCACCAGAGCAAATAGAGGTGCTCTATGCTGGAAGTCTCCATGTCTGTTGATACACCCTGCCTCTTCTGCATCCTGGGAATCACTGCATAATTACTCAGCATCACTCATCAACTATTCGAAAGCACAGGGGGCTTGAGAGACGGCTAGAGCTTGTAAGCCCTGCAACTATTGCACAGGACCAAGGTTCTGTTCTTGGTACCCACATTGGGTATTTCCAACTGACTCTAACTGTAGATCCAGGAAATCCAACACCTTCTTCTAGCCTCCATGGGCATTTACATTTGAATGCACATACATACATGTAAACATAAAATAAAATGAATAAATCTTTAAAAAGGACTAAAAGAAAGATAATACAAAAGTAACGGAATGAGTATCACAGTCAATTAAACCTTTCAAGAAATCAGTATTATACACAGAATTATTGCATTGTCTAAAAAGAAGCCTAGGGACATCAGATATCTAAACAAAACAACAACAACAAACAAAATCCAGAAGCCAAAAAACAGATGGGCTGGGCATGGTGGCATAGACCTTTAATCCTTGCTCTTGGGAGGTAGACAGACAAATCTGTGAGTTGGAGGCTAGCTTGATCTACATAGTGAGTTCCAGGCTAATCAGGGCTACACAAAGAGACCCTTCCTTAAAAAAAGAAAACAAAGAGAAAGAAGCAAGCAAACAGACATAGATAGGGTCAGCATCAGGCTCAGCTTGTCAAAGCGCAAACCTGGCCACTGGAGATCAAGCTGCAAAAACAACAGGAGGTAGAAGGAGAGAACCAATTCCACAGAGCTGTCCTTTTTTCATGCATTGTGTGTTGTGGTGCAGGAAAACTGAGCGACCAGAGGAGCTACAAATTAAGAGTAAGGTCAAGGGGGCTGGAGATGGCTCAGAAGTTAAGAGCACTGCCTGCTCTTCCAGAGGTCCTGAGTTCAATTTCCAGCAACCACATGGTAGCTCACAACCATCTATAATGTGATATGATACCCTCTTCTGGCATGCAGGTGTACATGAAGATAGAATACTCATATACATAAAAGTAAATAAATCTTAAAAAAAAAAAAGAATATGGTCAAGACATGTCATTCTGAGAGCGGAAGAAATAGAACTGCTTCCTCCTTGCTCTGGGCCTGCGTGTCCCAGTGCATGTATTCTTGCACCCCCCCACCTCTGCCACCCTTGAGGTAGTCATGTAGCCTGGTAGTCAGGTTTCAGGTTAAACTTCCTCTGTCTATAAAAGGACAGGTCCAGTAAGCACCTGGAATCACTCTTCATGCAAATGAAGCGATCCAAGTGCTTTAGCCCTGGCCAGGGCTGCACACTCATCCCGAATACTCCTACCTACTCCCCAGAATTTATACGGCCCCAGTTTTCCCCCAATAAAGAGAGCTGTTTCACTGAAAACCATCTTGTGGAATGCCGTTTCTCCCGCACTCACTCTGACTGAGATTCTGCTCTGGCTAAGCTTCATTCCCTCCAGTTCAACCTGCTACACAATGGTGCCTGCCTGGGTACCCCGAGGGGGAAAGCAGAACCGGGGCAGTAGTGTGTCATGGCACATCAAGCACAGGCATACTTTTACATACACACATATTCACAGACACTAAGATTTTGAAGAATCATATAGCATAGGACTAAGCTGTTGAAAACGCAGAATGCAGTGATTGCTATGATGTTCTTAAAGTTGTCCCGTCACCACTGTCCAACACCAGAACATGGATATCACCCCAAACCAACTCATCAGCAATCTTTTCCCTACAATTCCTATTTCCAAACCCTGAGCTACTAATTGCTCTGTCTCAGTGGATGTGACATTTCAATAAAACAGAATACAATTTGTGGCCTTATCTGTCTACTTTATTTCATAGTGATTTCAAGGCTTATCTTGTGACATGTTTCCATACTTCATTCCTCCAAGGCTGAATGAACACTATTCTGTGTATACTCTACATTTGCTCCTCAAGTCAGCTTTTGACTATTTTATAGTCTTTGGCTATGATGAACACTCCCGTTTTAAGTATTTATCTTTATGTTTTAAATATTTTCTGTATATACTTAAGAAGCTGCTATACTATACTATAAGTTCTTATGTAGCTGGCAGACAGCTTTGTGAGTGTGAAATAGTGCCTCATCGTGGTTTTGGCTTGCATTTCTGTAGTGCTCAAAGTTGTAAAGTTTCCTTATATTAGTCATTTGTACATCACTTTAAGAAATGAGAATTAACTATGCTTTTTTTCATTTAAATTGTCTGTATTTCATGTTTTCTCATCTTAAAAACCTTCCTAGCTAGGAAACATGGCCCTTCAGGGCCACTTGACTACTAAATCAGTGTCAATATACTCAGGAATATGTCCTGTCTGTGAAAACCAACCAACCCTCCTGCTAGTCCTCCACTCCCTATATAGCAAAGCACTGAGAAGCTAAGTGACTGCTGACAGATACACACAGAGATGTCAGAGGTGAACCATGACTCAGTGCTTTCAAGCTAAGGAAGCCCAGTGAGATAAAAACAAAGATCTGACTTTCTAAATGGCCCAAGCTTACAGAAAAGCCACTGCACACAAGAAAACACATGAACCTTCCACCTGGTGCCGCTGGCCAGCAGCAGTACCCAATCAAGCATGTGGCAAAGCTTCCCCAGCAAAGCAGTAATTTTCTGGTTGTTGCTAAAACCTAGAAGCCTAGTGTTCACGCTACAAGGCGACACCCTGAGTGCTAGCACTGGCAGCAGGCAGAACCTCCCACCTGGGCCATTTCCCCATGAAGATAACAGCTGAGCAGTGCAAATGAATCAAACTCTTAGATTGGTGGCACCTGCCTCTGATTGAGGACGTGGCAGCTAGTACAGCCTAGTTGACATGGTGGAACAGTCTGGGTTCCTTCTACACTGTGTTGTAGTTTCCACCATAATTCTCTTTCAAGTCCCACTGCCACAAGTTTATTGAAATCATTAGATCTGTCTGCTTCAGATTCAATGAATAGCTGATGATGGCATGAAGGTAACACAAGTAGAACTAAGACTCAAACTAAACAAAATAGTTAGTAAAATACCTCTTCAAGTTCAGAGACAGCAAACACTACTTTTTCAATGGTTTCCCCATGGATCTCCAGGAACCGCCTCACAGTGCCTAAGGAAGAGAATGGGAAGGTATTCAGTGTTAAAACCAAGCTCTGTAACAGGCTACTCTTCACCTCATCAGCCACTGCTCATCAGAAAAGCCGGCTCCCCACCCCCCACAAAGCTGGAGTGCTTTCCTTCAAAGCAACTGTTGCAGACATGTTTCAGAGGTCCCTGAATGCATGTCCTCTCTGCTCTGAGCCCTCCACTGGCCCTAAGGTGCCATAGTGGGAGCTTTATTGCATTTGCATTTCTAGTGTCTGTGGTGGTGGCTGGCTACAATGCTGAGTCCAGACCACCCACCCTCAACCAGCATGTTCTTGATTTCCCTGGGGCTTCCCTTTGGCCGAAATAATCCAGTACAAATGGAAAGCAGAGTGACTTTCTATTTGTTCACTTACAGCATTAGATGTTCCACCCAGCCTGTTTCCCACTCACAGAACTGAAGATGAGTTATCTTTTTAAAAATCTCTATCCCATCTTTATTTTGCTCTATCAAGACCCCAAAGCCCAGCCGTAAATCTCCCTGGCTTTGGTCCTTTATGAACATGCTGCTGCCTTTGAAAAATGCCCACATTTTTGTTTACTTGATACACATACTCTCATAGCTCACTAATTGGTAAATTAAATTTAACTTCAAATGTTGATGACTCCCAAACTGTACAATGTTTCTGAACTAAAAAACTGAGTTACTAGCTGGGCAATAGCGGTACACACCTTTAATTCCAGCACTTGGGAGGCAGAGGCAGGTGATTATCTGAGTTCAAGACTAGCCTGGTTTACCCAGACTACATAGAAAGACACTGTCTTTTAAAACAAAAACAAAAAAACGACCACCACCACTACCACCACCACCACCACCACAACAACAACAAAAACCCAACCAACCAACCAAACAAAAAACCAAACAAACCCCAAACTGAGTTACTTACTCCTTGAGCATATTTGCCTAGATAACCATCGAGACCTCAAATCTGTGGGTCTAACTTCCATCTTCTTCCCTGTATTCCCTAGCTCAGTTACATACCAACAAGCCAATTGGTCACTCAAACCAGAATCCTTGATTTGCTTTTTTACAAAAATATTGGTTTTTTGCATATGAGATTTGCATACATGTGTATAAATATATCTATCACCTCTGTGCCTCGTACCCACAAAGGCCAGAAAAGGTGTGAGAACTGCTGAAACTGGAGTTACAGATGGTGTGAGCTGCCATGTGAATGCTGGGATCTGAACCGAGGTCCTCCTCAAAAGCGGCAAGTGCCTTTAACCTCTGAGCCGCCTCTTCAGCCTCATGACCTTTCCTAAAACATTTATCTACCGTGTGTGTGCATCACGGCATGTGTACACAGCTCAGAGGACAAACTGCAGGGATTGTCTCTGTCCTCCTACCGTGTGGCTTCAGGGCTGAACTCAGGCCATCAGGCTTGGCAGAAGCATCTTGCTGAGCAACCTCACTTGCCCCTGAATTTCCTTTGGCATTCCTTTGTTTTTTCCTTCAAGCCATGGTTTGCATGCACAATCTTTTAATTCTACTGTTAACACTTCAAATATCCATCCTTCTCTCAGCTGCTTTCAAGCTCTTAACACTCACACACATTTTGGCAGTGAGCTATTAACTGGTCTCGGTTTCTTTCATTTCCAAAGCTGCAACTTTTGCTTCCTGGGTAATCTTACAGTACCGTTCTTAGGAAATTCTTGTAATAGGGCCGTACCCGTTAAACATTAACATGACTTGCCATGCTGTCCCAACTGCCCACCTCATGAGGCCTATTTCCAACTGCTCCTCCCACACATCTTATACAGTCACTTATATTTCACAATCTCCCATTGGTGGTAGGTTAGTTCTGACTGGAATACATTGTTCTCCACTCGCTTCTTTTATGAATCTCCACTTATTTTTCAAGAATTGGCCATAAGCTATCTTTGTGTAGCACTCTACCCCTTAATGTGTTCCTTTATACAGAATCTCCTGAATCCATGTTGGATCAAGTTTGCCTGAGGGCTCTGCAAGTTTATATTAGGGTTAATGACATACAGTCCCATGGTAAATTGGGATGCCTCTGTGACATCTTGAGCATCTTTCTATCTGTAAACTTCTTACAATTGCATTGTGGATCTATTTAAGGCCATGTATATTTTATATTGATATTACACTAACTAAAGTCTAGCAGAACATGTCGATATGACATGCACTCAAAAGTAACTGATAACTGAATGAATAATTCATGGCTGTCCTGGTAAGTAATGCAGTCCAAGAATCTAGTACAGTAGATTCGTTTGTTGAGAGAAGGATACGTCTGCTGCTTTAGCTGCAAATCTGTTTTTCATCTCTCCTTCTGGTCTGCTTTCTACATTTTCCCTAAAACAGCTTCCTAAAAGAAATTTTATTTTATAACTATTTATGCTACATAAAATTTTGACACTCATATGTATTTTTTCCTTAATATAGTACTGCATGTTTCTTATGGAAGATAATGCCAAATAGTAATCAAATTAAATTTTCTCAAGAGTGCTCATTTAGAAAGAGAATTCTGGTCGGGAGGAGGAACAAGACTGACCTCATGACTCAAGGGTTTTAGCATTGTCAGCCTACTATTCCTTCCAATACTCAGTATTCCTTCTGAGTACTCTCCTTGGCAGCCAAACAGGATGTCACATGTTTTACATTTGTGAAGGTGCTTTAATTAGTGTGACATCCAGGATATTAATACTTCCAACATAGAAGCGTGGAAGGAAAGAACAAGCACCATGGGCTTCTTGCCTTACTGCTGCATGTTCTGTATAGGACAGAGAATAGCAGAGTAGTAACTTAAGTTCTTGTTGAATAAATAATACGATAATTTTACTTCAATGTTGATGTTGATGGGTTTTCAAAGACTTTAATTGTATATGAACTAGGGAAAAAAGATACTATCAAAAGTTTTGGTATATTGATCAAGAAGATATTAGGTCTTTGTATGAAATGTTTGGCTAATAGTTTAATAAGCAAGAAAGTTCTTAATTTAGAAGATGTATAATGTCAATGGACTCATTTTTAGCATGCGTGCACTATAAACATGTACAAGCCATTTATTATTTGCAAATTCCAGAAGTACACTATTGTCTTTGTATTTGTTTTGAATAACATATTCTATAATTTTGCTATATTTAAGGTTTCAATGAAATGACCCTTATACAATTTGACTAGCTCACTTTCAAGAGCTACTTGCTTCCTTTCTGCCAATTACATTCCTAGAAGTAATCTTCCCACTATCACTCTTTACCTGTTATTGTAAATTCCTCTTAAAACAGGGGGTGGGGGTTGACTGAGGTATTATTATGCAGTAAAGCAATACTTGGGACCATTTACCCCAAACAGTGCACACAGGGAATTCACATAATAGTATTTAAGGAGGGTATGCAGGCACTGTTTCAGTATTCCTAATGATGAGAACCTCATTAAAATACAGTACTATCTCAAAGAAATCAAAGCTCTTCCCTCATAACATGCCTAGATCTTGCCATCTGCAGTTAGAATTCTTACCTTCACCTTTCCAAGGATCTATAAAGTTCTTGGAAAAGCTTTTAAAGTCTATATTTCTGAACTCTGCTTTGGATAAGAGACCACAGCATTCTTTTGATGGAAGCACAGTGTAGATTATGATACACCAACTCCTGTGAAGAGCACTTAGTCAAAAAACGTACCACAGCATAAGGTCAGTGTGAGAGCCCTTCAGGTATTTTAAGATGGACATCATATCTGCAAAAAGCCTACCACTGATGTTTCAAGTAACTGGTCCTTGTTTGTCATTGTCTTGTGAGCTGTGACCTAAAATGTATAGACTACACTGAGGTCATGGACTCTCAACATGAGTGCTAGTTTTTATTTCCGGGAACTGAACTCATGTATACTAAGCACATACTCTACCACGGTCCTATGCTTTTGGCCCAGCACTACACTTTTATATCACATACAACACTGTCCGTCAGTTTAGACTCTGACAGTGATTTTTAAACCTAAACACAGTTTTATATTCAAGGAGTACTTGTGAAAGTGCTGTCTAAATAGAAAAATGCTATGCAAATATATTATGAGTTTGTTTTTTGCTGCATATCTACATACTGTTAAGATTATTTTTATTTGATTCAAATACTCATTGCATTAGTCATACTTTGAGGCCTGATATCATTTTCAAACTTAATGAGCAAGCCCTGTAAGCCTTTATGCACAGGTATAAATTACAGCATCCTAAGAAATTCAACTGAGAACTTTGCAATCCAGCAATGCAAAGTCTCCTGGGATGCCATGATGTTCTTTCCTTATAACTTATCTAGTAACCAACATTTTCAGAATTTGATTTATGTGTGGCACCTCCAGCATTACTTACGAAGAGCAATGTGTGTAGCATCCTCTAGAGGATAACCCCGCTTTGCAGAATTGATGACACAGAAGCCAACAGAAGACATGGACTGTTCTCTGCAATCAGACAGAAAACCCAAAAGTTGTACTAAAACAATTCTCTACATACATAATCCATAAGTAATTTCAAAATGCAAGTCTGGATCTCTCCTACCCCACCAATAAATTCACAACTGTTAACTCAACTGTATTATTTGATAGTTATATTAATGTAAAATTTGACCATACTGCTTGAGAGATAATATCTGAGCCCTTCGGAGTTTGATTTGCACAGTGAGCTTTAACAGTGTGTGGGGAAAGGTCGTACTTTGCCAGCTGAAGCACGTTTCTGTAGCAGCTGTACAGGGAACTCTCTGCTGCGGTGCGATACCGGCTCTTATACTTTGGCCCCACTGTGTGAATGATGAACCGAGCAGCTAGGTTAAAGCCTTTTGTCAATTTTGCTTCACCCGTTCGGCAACCTGAGAACAATGGGGACACAAAAGAGCCTGTAAATATTAGGGAAACACAAATATGCAAAGCATAAAACAATGCATTAAGAACTATGAGGAATGTCATTTAAAAATGGGACTGAATACAAGCATCCATGTCTGTTGCTTCTGATCTCCTGGCAGTGAGACAGGACAGCAGGTATAAGTACAATCTTACATCACAAAATGGGGACGGCACAGAACAGAGAGTCATTATTCAGGTTTGCAAGAGGACAAAAGTCAGTGGACTATGGGTAACCAGCTTAGTGAAGGAGAAAAACCTAGCAACTTGCAAAATGGGGTAAGCATTATGAATGAGCTGGAGGGCGAAGTCAGACTTAAAGCAGACTGCTTCATTTAAATCCTGAGTCCGAAGTATTGTGTGAAAACTCTGGGTATGTTCATGGCCTCACTGTGCTTTGACTTCCTATGTAAGGGAGACACTGACCTGTAAGATCAAATGAGTTAAGTTATGCAAAATGCACAATGCAGCAGTGGCTGTTGTTATTTCTGGAGAACACTAGAAAGACTACTAATTACTTCTCAGACTATGCTGTGATATGGGACTATGAAGAAAAGGCTGAGGTTGCAGGTGTATACAGTCAATCAAAACTACAAGCCCTCCCCAAGCCTGCTCAGTAAGGTCATGATTTCTTTACAGAGCAGATGACTATTCCCAGGAGATGTTGAACAAGAGTTTCTGGAATCCAGAACCCCAGGCACAAGTGCAAACAGGGGATTCAATTAAGGTGTTAAAGCTGCCAGGACAATGCCTAGCCACCTGGTTGTCTAACATGCATATTCAAGGCCAAAGACAAAGGTCAAGTTGAGTGTGATAATTAAATAAGCCCAATAAAACCACAAGATGTCTGTTCTACCTAAGATCCAAAACCCAATAATTCTGCTGTTATGGAGTAAATGCTTGCATAGCTCTCTCACTTCCTACGTTAAAACCTCACTGTAGCATGTGATGGCATCCGGACCAGTGTCTTTGGGAGGTGAGAGGAATGAGACAAGATCATGCTGGAATCCTCACAAATAGGATTAATATCTTTCCAACAGAGATTGCTTCTGCTTTCTGGACTGTGAAGAGGTCTAGAAAGCTTCAGAAAATCCTGATCTGCCATCCTGATTCCAGACTTCCAGATCCCAGAACTAGGAGAATCAAATATCTACAAGCCATGCATCATCTGTACTTTGTCAGCAGCATGGGGACCCACACCTGTAATCCCAGCACTTAAAAGGATGATACGAGGTCCAAGTTCATATGCTAAGTCTAAGCCAGCACGGGCTACACAACATACCACCTTAAACAAACAGGCAAACGGGTAAGACGTGCACGCAGGCACACATGCGTCATTGGCTTTTCAGCTCCTCCTAGACGCCACTAACACTTACAGACCACTGAGAAGCAAAGAAGTCCTTGACTCAAACAGAAGTCGACAAAACTCCTGATATACAACAGGCAGAGACAAAATGACCAAAAGTCTTCACACTAGAAACATGACTCTCAGAGACATGCGAGAAGATGCAGGGCCTCGAGTCAAGACCAGAACGTTGCTTTAAAATATACATGGGGGACAGAAAGCAGCACTTACCCACTTTTGCTACAGACTACTAAAAACTGTAAGAACGGGAAAGTTCAATAGGGGCTGAAACTACAGTTGAGGATATCATGCAGACAGCAAAATGAAATTAAGAGATATCAAAAAAAATTGAAAGACAAACCAAGAAAATATAACATGCAATACTAGTTCTTCAGAGAGAGAAATGTGGAAGAAAAGCAAGAAACTTCCCAGAACTGAGGGTCACATTCCGCAGGTGTTGGTGACCTTGGGCGTTGCTGTCTGAGGAGTGAGTGAGACACTAACACTCAGTAAAGAAGGGTCAGCGACCTAAAGGCCTCAGGTGGACAAAGGTGAGTGACTGACAGCACCTGTGGAAGCTTCTGATGGACGGTCCACAGACCAAGCCTGTGGCTATCTGCCACTTACAGACTGCAGGGGAAGCAACCTGCAGATAGATTCTTCATCCTCAAAGTCTTCCCTGAACCGCTCCCACGCGGCTGCCCCTTTCTGTCCAACGAAAACCCCCACACCTCCACGGCATGTACGGGCAGAGGCTGTGGACCTTCAGCTGTTCTGATTAAAGAACACATCTGCTTCTGGAAACGCCTGCCTTTCTTTAGCCTCTATCACTCTGTATCTAACAGGAACATGTGTGTCTTACTCATCTGCCTGTTTGTTTAAGGTGGTATCTTGTGTGTAGCCCGTGCTGGCTATATATTACTAAATATAGCTCAGACTGGCCTCAAGCTTGGACTCCCCCATTTCATCCTCCTGAATGCTGGAATTATAGCTCTGGGTCACTGTGCGTGGCTGCTTAAGCACTCAAACTGCTGACAAAGTGCAACTGACAGGTGGATTACAGTCACCCATTTCTTAGGTGTGGAAGTCTGAAACCAGGGTGGCAAACAGAAAATGCAAACTACACAGAGGCAACCCACTATGAAATTTCAGCACATCACAAATAAAGATGGAATCATAAAGCTTCCTAAAACAAACTGGTAACACAAAAAAAAATTCAAAATAAGACTATTATCAGCTTTCTAATGGAAAGGTCTCAAATTGCTAGATTCATTACTTTTAAAGTGTTTTTGTTTGCATGTGGACTACATTCATGCAGCACCCACAGATGCCAGAAGAGAGGGAGGGAGTCTCTGGAACTGAGGTTACAGATGGCGGTGAGCCACCACGCCAGAGCTGGGAACCAAACCAGAGCAAAAGCAACAAGTGCAACCACCTCTGAAGCCCTAAGACTGCTAGATTTGCAAGGGGCGCCAAAAGCGATTGGGGTGTTAAGTTTATTAGAAGAGTTACCTAGCACCATAGACAGACAGACAATAGTAAGGCAGATGCTCCACACAGGCATCAGGCCTACACAGCAGAGACCCTTGTTACAGGTCTACGAGGAAGGAGGTAGGTTTTAGTACATGCCTCCAGCCAGGCTCTCAGATTCCCTAGCAGGTAGCTAGTGGAGAAGAGGGGGAGGAAAGGGAGATGTGGTCACCAAGAACCACAGGTGGCTCTTTGTGTGTCCCAGGTTGGAAACTCATTTCCCCAAGCCAGTAACCTGGAAGTCTGGTTGGTTAGCTGGGGATTCAGACAATGCTCTCCAAAGGATCCCTGTCTGAAGCTGAGGAGGGAGTTCAGAGATTATAGCTTGAGCAGTAGGTTGGTCTGGATTCTAACATTCAGGAGAAAGTAGTAAAAACAATGGAGAAATGCCTTCACAAGTTTAGAAAACAATTTCCAAACTACAATTCGATTTTCAACCAACTTTCCAATTAAGCAGGAAAATAGAAGCAGTTTGTCCCTGTCATTCTTCCCAGAATCTGACAGCCAGAACAGGGAAAAAAAAAAAAAGTGCAGGGCGTCTTGAAAACACAGCATCTAATGTGGTAGACAAGTGATGTCCTAGGAGGATGTGAAACTCAGTGCTTGGGCATTAGGCACAGAGCAATTTAGAAAGAAAGGAGAGAGAGGAAAGTTCCAAGTGATCCCTGCCAAGGGAGAAATAGGTTAGAAGAAAAACTTAAGACTAAAAGGTCTGATGTTCACTAAGAGGAGGTTTACCCTTGTATCAAATGTGGAAAATGAACGCGTGACAGATACAAAAAAATTAGTTTAATAAAATAAAGTCAATTAATAACTTCATGGAGGAAAAAAGTACAAAAAGAATAGGAATGTACTTGCTTAACAGTTGTGAATGTTTTATATAGTCACAATGCTAGTAGGGAATATTGATTTAATGTGAATCGTGATAGTTTGGGAAGATGGCAAAAGAGGAAGAACATGTGAGAACTTCCTATGCCATGGAGTAGAGAAAGGTTTCATTTCCTCAGTAAAAAGTCAACAGAAAAACAAGAGAGGAATTGCAGCGTACTGCTAGAAAAAGCAGGTGAACTAGGTACGGTATTGAGATGGTGGCAAGGACTTGCTCCAAAGCACAAGAATTAGATACTGTTTCCCATACATTATATTTGACACTGAAAACTATATACATGATCAACAGAACACTGTATGCACAAAACTATAGAAAACAAGAAAGCCAGGAAATTTTGCTATTAACCAACTCTTTATTTGGAAGACTAGGTAAATGTCTTAGTTACTTTTAAATTACTGTGACGAAATACCATGACCATAACATATAGTGACAATTTTGGAATTTTGGTTTCTTAAAAAAATATAGTACCGTGCAGTTTTTATTACTGTTGGTCTATAGTACAGCTTGAGATCAGGGATGGAGATACCTCCAGAAGATCTTTTATTGTAAAGGATTGTTTTAGCAATTCTGGGTTTCTTGTTATTCCATATGAAGTTGAGAATTTTTCTTTCAAGGTCTGTAAAGAATTATGTTGGTAATTTGGTGGGATTGCACTGAATCTGTAGATTGCTTTTGGTAAGATGGCCATTTTTACTATGTTAATCCTGCCAAGCCATGAGCAAGGGAGAACTTTCCATCTTCTGATATCTTCTTCTAATTCTTTCTTCAGAGACTTGAAATTTTTTTCATACAAGTCTTTGACTTGCTTGGTAGGGTTACACCAAGGTACTTTATGTCATTTGTGGCAATTGTGAAGGGTGTTGTTTCCCTAATTTTTTTCTCAGCCCTTTTGTCTTTTATATACAGGAGGGCTACTGATTTTTTGGAGTTAATTTTGTATCCGGCCACTTTGCTGAAGGTGTTTATCAGCTGTAGGAGTTCCCTGGTAGAGTTTTTGGGGTCAGTCAGGTATACTATCCCCTGCAGACTATCAAAGTAGATGTTGAGACTTATGGCCAAACTTTGGGCAGAATACAGGGAATTTTATGAAAGAATTGGGAAATGGTAAGATCTGGAGAGGACAGGAGGTCCACAAGGACAGCAACAGAACCAAAAAATTTGAACACAGGGGTCTTTCCTGAGACTCATACTCCAACCAAGTACCATGCATGGAGATAACCTAGAACCCCTGCACAGGTGTAGCCCATGGCAGTTCAGTGTCCAAGTGGGTTCCATAGTAACGGGAATAGGGACTGTCTCTAACATGAACTGATTGGCCTGCTCTTTGATCACCTCCCCCTGAGGGAGAGCAGCCTTACCAGGCCACAGAAGATGACAATGCAGCCACTTCTGATGAGACCTAACAGACTAGGATCAGAGGGAAGGAAAAGAAGACTTCCCCTACCAGTGGACTTAGGGAGGAGTATTCGTGGAGAAGGAGAAAGAAGGGAGGAGTTGGGAGGGAAGGAAGGAGGGAACTACAGGGGATACAAAGTAAATAAAGTGTAATTAATTAAAAAAAATCATCCTGAAAGTGTTTTTAATGTTTGAAAATAAACACAGTTCACTAAGTAAGATTTGCTCTGGTCCTCGTTCTGTCCAGTGTGCTGTCTGTCCAAGGCTACAAGTTCTACTAAAGAGAAGTGAGTAAGTGAGTTACCAAAGATGATTCAGCAACATTTCAACTGCACTTCTTTGCAAATCCTAACCCCACAATAATGACACACAGAGGCTGCTGAATGCTTGGAACAAAGAGTGCTAACCAGAAAACAGCAAGCAGAAAGTGCAGTACATGCATTCTTACCCCTGAGAGCTCACACTTCAGACCTGAGTCAGAGAACACACAGGCAACAACCCAATGATCCCAGCATCTCCACACTGTGTATGCTCAGGCTCTGACCTGTTTTTTGGGCTCTGGATATGTGCTCTGGGCTAGAAGAAGAAGCCTGGTGAATCCAGATGTTCTAATTCTTTATAATGGAATACAAAGGACAACGCACAGAACTTTTGTTTTATGAAAATAACCAAGTTCAAAGTGAGAAAGTTGTACTGATTTGGGATGAACTGGATGGCTACACAAATCCTATATTATCTATTTTTAAAAAGCTCTATTTCTTAGAAAAAAATTTCTAATTAAATTGCAACACAATTTTGCATATCAGGAATTTCAGCAACACAATAGCTATTACCCTCCACATTTTAAACATTTCTTCTCGAATATTTAAGAATAACTAGTGTTCCCTCCAAATCTACATGTTTGAACTGTTCAGTAATGTGCCTTCTACAATACCTAACAGGCTAATAATTTTTCTTTTAGGTGTACTCCAGTTTATCACTCTTAAAAGGTAGTATTGCCACAATAAAGGACACAGGGTCTACCCCAGGGGTCTCAGCCTCTATTAGCACTGATAACTTTGCATTTATTCAGTTAAAATCATTGGGAATTTCAATTATCTTTGCTGGGCTGTTCTTGCCTGCACCAAGTTTACCCTTTACTCAGGACAGCATGCTTGCAAGTAACAATCTATAACATCACAACATGGTACTCAGGACAGCAGTAACAATCTCTAAGTTTACAACACGGTTAGGGCACACATGGGAAGCATCACATTGCAGACTAAGACCACATTCTATGTGACAAAGAGCCTTTCTGAAGGAAAGAAAATCTGTGCATTGCAGGAGAGGTGTCAGGCAAGACTTGAGAGTTAAGAGCCGAGAGAAAGGGAGACAGCAAACTCAAACCACAGAGAAGTTTCCATAGAGACCCTTTGGGTTCAAGGACTGAGTTTTGAAGGCAAAAGCCAGGGTAGTATGAGACTGGAGACCAAAGAGTGAGATCTTTTGGGGACTGGAGACCAGCTTAAGGACTCTGAAGAATCACTAAATGGTTTGAAGTTGAGGAGCAAGAAGGAGGGGTTCACGGATTATTACACAGACACTGGTCAGTGTGTGTAAACAACTTCATGAAGAATAAACAAAAGGAGATCAGTTAACAGGGAGGGAGGAAGTAGCTGCTAAGAGAGAAATAAAGCCACAATAAATTTAGGACCTGATGACAAACTTTGTGGGAAGGATAAGGAAAAGAGGGACATGTTAATCCTAAGGTTTTCTGACTAACAAGTGGGGTGGAAGGTATGTTGTTCTACTGATAGTAAGCACTTCATATGTGCACGAAAGACTGCCAAACTGTCAAACTGGCTTCTCAGGCCTGACCCTATCTAGCAGCCTAAAGTTAATGCAAGATTATAATATTAATCTCTATCATTTTTTTGCTTTTATTTCAAGCCCGTCCATTTGACAGCTGTCCCTAGCTTTCTATCATAAATTTATTAAGCCATAACATGTAATCATTTACTACCTTAATAAAAATTTGAAAAGGTGACAGTGTCACATAAATCTTCAGCGGCCACTGATAACCTCCTCAGGTCAGCACTGGTCATTCAGATAAGATGAGAGAACTAACAGGTAGCAGCAGCAGCAGCAGCAACAGAACTTGGTTTCCGCTACCTGACGTCCACCATGCCATTTGGTCTGTGTATTAACTTATTGGCAATGCCTGCAGCATCACAACTTGATGTCCACTGTGCCAATTGGTCTATATGATACTAATTGTTTTCATCCAAAATATTTATTAAACTTTTGCTATGCATCAAGAACTGAGGTAGGAACCACCATTACCAGCACAGACTGAGTGGTGATGAGTCTCCTGTCACATGCTCAGTGCAGTGAAGGGTCACAACAATAATCCCAGCTAAACACTAACGACTCCCTAGTATTTGGGTAAATATTAACTTTAACAGCGAGAAATTGTGTAACATCATACTTGCTTTTCTACTCTCGTATTGTTTCTAATCTCACTCTAAGCTGTACGGGTGGGCACATGCATGGGTACCCTGTAAGGGATTTTTCCTGGCTCGCTTCTGTGATCTTTACCAAAGGACTTTACAGTATTTTCTTAAAGATCCTTTCTAAATTCCACACATTTATTATGGCATCCTGTTACAGTCTGATTAAAGACTTCTTCAACAGCCCCCTCAGCACTCCTGCATACTCCATGGCCTCTGCTCACTGGCTTGCTCCTCATAGCTTGCTAAGTCTGCTTTCTTAAAGGACTACCAGCCTAGGGGCAACCTCACCCACACAGGCGAGGCCTCCCACCTCAATCACTAATTAAGACAATGCCACACAGGCTTGCCTACGGTCCAGCCTTATGGAGGCATTTTCTTAATTCAGGTTCCCTCCTCTCTGATAATTCTACTTGTATGAAGTTGATATAAAAGTAGCCAGCACACCTGTCATTTTAAAATTCAGCATAGGATTGATAAGCTGGACTGCTAGTAAAATTGCAATAACACGTCTAAGAGCGGTCACTCACCTTTAAGTTTTAGTAGGTCCTCCTTCAAATCTGGCCCCGCAAGCATGAAGATACTCTCTGACACAGGGTTCTTATCTGTGAGGCTCTCATTGCTGGTGTTCACAATGGCTGTACAGTTCAGCAATGCCACGTCTCCTTTCCTGAGGGACCAACAGATAAAAAGCAATTGTGGGAAAGAGGAGGGAGTTAACTGACCTAGTTTCTAACTTCTCCGAAGCCTCCCATCTCTGCGATATCAGCTTTGCAACAGCACAAAAGTAGAAACAGGGAAAAATGCCTGACTCAAATTAACCTGGCATCTCACAGTTTACAGTAACTGCTCCAACCCCAGAATTCACAGAACCATCATGCCATACATTTGCTCCTTGATATATTGCCTGCATTATAACAGAATGTTACACAGTTGAGAGTAGTTGACTTAAAGAGTTTAGAAATAGAATCAGTCATAATAACAGCCAAAAGAATATAACTGTCTATCAACTAGGGAACTGATAAGTGTGCTTGTAATATGGAGTACTATTAAGTCACAAAAAAAAGTGACACTTTGTACTACAACTGAAAATATTATGCTAAGTCCAAAAGTGTCAAATATTTTTGGTTTAGTTTTTTTTTTTTTTTTTTTTTTTTTTTTGAGACAGAGTTAAGTCTCACATATTTTACTGTTGGAATTTCATGTATATGAAATGTCCAAAACAGGCAAACCAACAAGATTAATTCTGAAGATGACGGGAATATCAGTGTCTTAACTGTGGAGATGGCTCCATGGATGCATACACAGAACAACATTTAAGCTGTACGTTTTAAATCTGTACACTTTACTGTATTTTAACTATAGCTCAATAAGGCTATATTATAAAAGCAACATTTCAAATAGGACTAGGACTTCAATAAAAAGAACTGTAGATGAAAATTAGGAGGATTCACACATGTAAAATATAATAAAAAGTTACCAAAGAACCACTTTTCCATTAATGTGGCGATTATACAGAAAAGGCGACCTGACGGTGTCTTCCCGGGATGTCTCCGCTGTGCTGTCCCAGTAGCTTACTTCATCTCCACACGAGTCAGCCCAGCTTAGCAGGGTGTCCACATCCACAAACTGGGAAGGTGCACCCAAGGGATCCATGGAATGGGAGCTTCAGCTTGTGTCCCAGAGGCCTCGGCAATTCAACAATTCCTGGAGATTTTAGCTTAAGAGAGAAGGGATCATTTTAAAACAAAAGCACAACTATTATGCACAATATTACTTTAAATCTACTAAGCAAACACATCCAACTCTGCTGTGGAATGGAAAGAGGCAAGAGTGTATTGAGTGCCTACAGTCATTGTACTGGTCTATTAGGACAACAACAACAACACTCCTAAAATATGGAAATAAGCGGGGAGAGATTATATAAGAATAAATTCCTTTCAAGGAACTGTGTCTTTTGTGATTAAAAATCATCACAAATCACACCAGTTCTACTTTTCAGAAAGGATTACTCATTCAACACTCTGGGCATCCGCTATTGCAAAATAAATACATAAAATGCTCTATGCTGTGCTATAAGATATGAAGTGATAAATATCATGTATAATTTAAAGAATTCCATCTAATGATAATGTGGATATGTTTGCAAGGCTGACTGAGACAGGGAGGGCCTACAGTTAAGTAGTAAGATATAATAAAGGTTTCAACTAATGATCAAAGAAGGTGAGACCTGGATTTAAGAGGCAACATGTGGGGCTAGAAAAATGACTCAGCAATTATGAGTGTATGCTGCTCTTGTAGATGATCTGAATTTGGTTCTCAGCACCCATGCCAGGAGGCTCACAGCCACATATTAACACAGCTGTAGGGTAGATAGTGCCCTCTTCTGGCTTCTGCAGGCAACTGCATTCATATGCAGTGACCATACACAGGCATATATATACTTAATATAAAAAAAAGCAAAATCTTTTTTTTTAAAGGCAACATACAGAGGAATAATGACAACACACAGGATTAGGTATATGAGATTGCATGTGGTAGACAGCTGGTTGTATAAAAGTTGGGAGAGGAGGGTGATAAGAAAGCACAGTTTCTAGAGCTGGACCTAGATCATGGAAAATTCCACCAGAGAAAAGGATGACCGCTGACTGCTACCGCTGTTTTCAGTAAACCGTAGCCTCATTCATCCACTTAACCTCTGTAAGCCCGTGGGTGTGTTAGGTACTATTCTAAGTCCTGAGGACACCATTAACAATACATCTCTACCTTAGGGAGCTCATGTGTCAGCAGAGTAGAAAAGTGATGCTAACAGTGCAACTAGAACGTGTATCACAGAGAAAAGGTGCCGTGTGAGGAGCAGGTTAAGCTGGGAAAGCAAGAGGGGGAGGAACAGCTAGGGCAAAGACAAAAGGGCAGGAAGAAGTGAGCTGCTGTCCAGGAGCCAGGAAGTTGTATGGGTTGGAGAATCATCTAGGTAATGAATTAGATGGTGAGGTTGGTGCAATGCAAGGCCGATGGTCCAGTTGTAAACCACCCTTAGCTTCTGCTCTAAATATGAGGACGTCACTAGAAGGTTTTGACCATCACAATTAAATGCAATGCCTGAAAGGAAGACTCTAGCTAGGGAAAGCAAGAGGGGCAAGAATAGCAGAAGAACATCCAGGAGGAATCTAGGACATGGCAGCCATGAGAAATGTCAGATTTGGGATATAACTGACAAGTAGAACCAGAGATTTGTCATAGGAATTCAGAGGGTGAGGAAGTACACGAGTCAGACAATGCCTAGATTACTTGCTTAAACACCTGAGTAGGATAGTAATGCTGTTTACAGAGAAGAGATACTGAAGTAAGCTATGGGGTGAACGAAGAGGATTTCCCCCTCCCATGTGTCTCTTAGAATGTGCTGAGTTCAAAATGCTCATTACATAGTCATGTGTTTGTTTATTGTCAAACTGACAATTGGATGCTTGAAGCTAGAGCTCAGAGCAGAGGTTCAGCTAAAGGTCTAGAAGTCTCAGCAAGTGCAGTGTTGAAAACTACAGGAACTAGACAAGGTTGTCTGCAGAGCAAATGCAATCAGTGAGAAAGAGCTCCCAGGACTGAGTATACTAAGACAAGACTGTACGTGAGAAGGCTGGTAAGAAAGGCAGAAAGCCAAGCAAGATGGTAGAGGGTGTTCACCAAGTGCTTCAGAAGGATGTGCCAGAGCAGAATGTTACCAAACAACCAAGACCACATGAGTTCAGGAAGTGAGCAGACAGATGAGGAGAGAAGAAAGTCAATCTGGGAACTAATTTTAAAAAGCTTTTTGAGGTAAGACTAATGTTTTTTGTCACTCAGGGAGAACACACATGACCTTCCAAAACCAATTTATTAGTGTTTCTTGGTGAGACATGGATCCTAACTAGAAGCAGAGATCTATCAGAATATGTTAATTCTTCTCACTTATTGTTAGGTAGAAAGTGTGGTCATTCACCTAGCAGTTAAAAGAAGATCTTGTAGATGATACCAATATACTTTTATCAGTGCTTGATGTTTGTAGTAAGTGCTTCTTTAAAATGAGTTTTCCTACACGCTGTACTTGGTTCACAGTCAGCCTTTGAACCTGGAGGCAAACACATGCCACATGTTGCTCCAGGCGGAACTGAACAGAGCACACATGCCATTGCCTCAATGCAATGACTGTCTCAGAAATCCCTGATTGCAGGCAAGGATGTGCTGACTCATGCTCACGGTTCTTAGCCATAAGATAAAATGAAAAAAAGAAAAGAAAAAATTCATCAAAAACATTAACAGTTTCTAAACTGCAAACTCACATGTCAACTTTTAGGGTAAAATTGCTTTTTAAAACTACATTCTATTTCAGACTCTAACACCTGCTTCTAGAACACTTTAAAATTAACAAAAAAGTGAAATGATCAAGAAGAAGAAATCTCCGATTTGGTGTAGTTCTCCTTTCTCCTGTGACAGAAGTAAAATCACATCGAGTGCATGACCTCAGACCTGCCTTCTCTTTACTACTGTCAGATGACCAGGTCCACATTCAGTCCCACAGTGCAACAGTGAAGTGTGACACAATGCAAGTCATGAGCCTCTGTGCATCAAGGCCCAAGTTCGGATCCCTGACTCACCGTCTGTGAGCTGCGATCCTTGAGGCAAAGCTAGCATTTATATATACAGCAGGGGCAATCAACTCACACGCTAATCATGAAGACTAATGCAATAACCTGTGCCAACACTGCACAGCAGAGAACCTGACGCAAAGCAAGGCACAATGAAATACTTTTTTAGATTTCCTCAGGGCAGTGTAACCACTGGAGAGAAGAAGTTATACTTCCAGCGTGCCAAAAAGACTCAAGTACTCACTGTCAAATCAACATGCATGCTAAATGCTGAGTGCTGAACTAAGTCACATTTTTCAGATCTTGATGTCATGACTTCCCTTGTTATGTCTTGTTAATCCCTAAATAACCCAACATCTGTTCTTATGTCAGTAGGGGAAGGAAGCCACACATCAGCAATCTTGACTGTGCCAAAATGAATGTGCGACCTTTCCTCCATTAGCTGAACCCTCCATCAACAGTACTGCTTTACTAATACAGCTATCTCTCTAAATGACTCTGAACAGCGCCTGTCACAGACAAGCTTTCAATGTCCTTCACCTTCTGGCACTCATACCCTGTGCAGTTTTCTTCTGCATTGCTCAGGGCTAGCAAATGATGGTGTGGCTTCTTCCAAAGATAGTTATAAAGGGCACTGTGGCCAAGCCTTGCTCTCTAATTGTGCTCTGAAGGTGTTAGGCTCCAGCCGGAGGAAAGCAGGGGTCTCTGCCAGAAGCTACCATGCACAGGCTTTTGGATAAACCACTGTGGAAGTGTGAACCCCCTGGCATTAGCTGGCTTTGAAACTACTCCAGCCAGGGCTGTTGTTTCCACTGCAACCTCATGAGAGACACTGACAGAACCATGCAACAACGCAACAATGCTACTTTTGAGTTCCTCATCTGTAGAATCTGTGAGAAAATAAAAGCCTCTTGGCCTATTATGATCCAGGCATTCATTCATTCATCCATTCATCCATTCATTCAAGAATGCTGGATACTAAATGTCCAACGAAAAGACAGAGCCACAAAACCCACCCAAACACGACATCAGGGAAATAGCGTGATAAATGTGCTACGTCAAATGGCCAGGAGAGATAGTTAATTCAGACTAGAAAAGCAGACATTGCCCCTTCAGAAAGCAGCGGTAAGTCCAAAACAGCAAGGGTGTTTCACACAGGTGAAAGAAATGCCGAGAGCTATGCATAGGAGTTTGGGGCGTTAAAGGATTTGCAGTGAATATGCTCTTTAATCTTTACAACCCTCCCATAAAGCAGATACTTGAACTCTTGTTTCAAACCTAAGAGGCTCAGTACCAGCCCAAGGCCAGCTAACCACCATGTGGACCCTGAGGCCACACTCAAGGCACACTGATCCTGAAGCCCATGCCATTCCCTCTGCTCTCTTCTCTTCCTGCTGCTCAAACCACTACCTTCTCTCCAGTTCCAAATCGATTTTCACGCAAACTTTTCCAGTTTCTGGGGGATCTCAGCATATATTCCGCATGCTTAAGCCAGCCAAAAGATCTTCATTCAGGCGCTTTAGCAGCTGCCCTTTATAAGAATTGTATCAATTCTCCCTGAACATCTTCCTCTCACATTCTTGAAAATCTTTCCTTCCTCATTTCTTCTTCAGACCACAGAAACAGCTCCCCACATTCTGTGGGGGGTGGGGGGGTGGGAGGGAGGCGGCATGCTGGGCAAACACTCTCACCAAGCTGTATCTCTAGCCCTCTTTTCCCTTTCTGTTTACTCTCTGTTTTGAGATGGAACACTCTAAGCTGCCCAGCCTCCCCTTGCTCATTCTCGCTCCCAAGAGGCACTGAAACCAGATTATCCTGCCTCAGCCTCCTGAGTAGCTGGGACTTTAGGCTTGTGCCACTGGGCCTGGCTGAGCACTTCACTTTGTGTGAGTGTGTATGGCAAATGTCCGCAGAGATATGTGTAAGCATGTGAATGGAGGTTAGAAGTCAGCAGCAGGCATCTTCCTCAATTGCTCATTCAACTTTCATTATTATTATTTTTTGAGACAGGGTCTCTCATTGAACCTGGGCTCAGCGATGCAGCCAATTAACACAAGGGTACTCTTGTCTCCTCATTCGAGCTGACATTACAAGAGCACACCACAGCGCCCAGCTTTCTTTCTACGTGGGTGCTGAGGAGCTGAGCTCAGTCCTCACACCTGAGTGGGTGCTGAGGAGCCGAGTTCGGTCCTTACACTTGTGGCAAGGCTGTAAGAGTGAGACATTGCTTCAGTCCCAGCTTCACTTTTGAGTATTTGTTGCAGAGCTCTGCTTCCTCTTTCATTTACTCAACCTTTTGCAATTTCTGTCAGCTCAACATGATTAAAGCTCTGATTTAAGGTCAACAGAAATTTCTTAAGTTGACCAATTTCTCCCTGAAATCCTATGATTGTCTTTGATGTGCATTTCAGTTGCTCTCCTGTCTGTCTATCTAGTCAGTTGAGTTTGCTGGATCTCTCCTGCTACTGGAGTTATTGTGATCCACAAGATCAGTGCTAACTTAGTGCTAACACAGCTGACATGGGGCAAAAGCTAATGACATTTTCTGGAACTCGTGTGTCCTAAGTGTCCTGGAAGTTAATTAAGGTTGAATTCCCCCCCCCCCCCCCAGACAGGGTTTCTCTGCGTAGCCCTGGCTGTCCTAGACTCACTTTGTAGACCAGGCCTGCCTCTGCCTCCGGAGTGCTGGGATTACTGGTGTGCACCACCACCACCACCCAGATAAGGTTGAATTCTTTTGCTCCATCTCCACCGAGAAACTGATTTTTCTCATTAGAAAGAGATTTAACTCACGGATGCTCCCAATATAAAATCATGGCCACGCTTATGCATCTCCACACCCATGCGCACACACAAGAAAGTTGAGAAGCAAACCCAAAGGTGGCAGAAACCTAAACCCCAAAGTACAGGAGCTCCCTACACACACACATATTATGTGAAAGTTACATGATGGAAAAATGTGTGTGGAAGAACTCATACATGTGCATACATCTGAAAGGATTTCAAGACTGAGATTAAAACTTCTAGGGACAGACTGAAAACAGGAAGGGGTCATGCGCATGATGGGAAGTAGCAGTGTGGGTGGAGACAGACAGGTAACTACAGTAATCTATAACCTTAGATAGAAATTTGGATAACAGTAAATGGAAAAAAATACTTCCCACTGGAAATCAATTGGTCGGTTCTGAACTTTGAACAAGCTTGCAAACAAACCTCAGAGCTTAGTGAAGCAGGCTCCTAAGGCATATTTTCACATCAAAAATTTGTTGGATTCCAGAATAGATCAGATCTATGGATTAGGCCAAATACTTTCTATGTTAAAGAGAAAGGACCCCCAAACAAAAAGAAGCTACTGAATATCCTTTATAATTCAAAGAGGCTACAGTTCTCTGTAGCCTATTTCCTTCCTACATTCTGTCATTACTAGCTTTAAAGAGAAAAAAAAAAAAAGTCTAGTGATTTATATGAAAAAATTAAGTTTCCCAGAGACCAGATTTTACTATTCAAGATTTGGCAGCATCAAGTAAGAACACTTTGGATCACTGTCTCAAAATCTGATTTTACCCCCCCCCCCCCCCCCCGTGACAGGGTTTCTCTGTGTAGCCTTGGCTGTCTTAGCTTTGTAGACCAGGTTGGCCTGCAATTCAGAGATCCACCTGCTTCTGCCTCCCTGCATGCTAGGATTGCAGGTGGGAGCCACCTTGACCAGTTATAAAACCTGATTTTCAAAAAGAATGGCATCAAGCTGGGCGTGGCGGCACAAGATACGTGCAGCACTACTCCTGGCACAAATCCCAGCACGAGGGAGGCAGAGGCAGGTGAGTCTTTGTGATTTTGAGGCCAGATAGTTCCAGGAGAGCCAGAACCATGTAGAGAGTTCATGCCTCAAAAACGAACGAACAAACACAGAATGGTATCATTTAAGAAAGGAAAGTGAGAATCTCTGAGATGACAGGCTGTCTGACAAATGGTTTCACAGATAAGACAAGTACGGAAAGTTGGACTATGCATCTGACCTCTAATAATTATGCTACTTGTTCGTTGCTTTCGATTAATTACAGGTTTACTATTCTTTATGGTTTTGTATTTCAATATTTAAAAGCTCAGAACATAAAAGGATGAAAAAAAAAACATACCACATCTATCCCAATGCCAAATCAGTTATGGAGTTATCAGTTAAAGAATTAACTTATGCAAATGGAAGGCTGCCCAGATGAAAAAGTGTCAGTGCTCAAATACATCAGCAATAAAAACATTATAGCAAAAACGACTTCTAAGCTTCATCAATGGTCCCAGGTAAACGGTAACATCATCATTCAAAACTACCCAAAGCATAGGCTCTACTGGTGAACTAGCAATGTCACCTGAGCATTAAGGAAACCAGAGCAAGCATCAGTTGCAGGCCTTCATACCGTGTGCAATTGGAAGCTTAAATGAGAATGTTGTCCTTCAAGCACTGGATAAGAAAAAGATCAAGATATCTTAGCCTGGCAAGGCAGTGCAGGCCTTTAATCCCTGCACTCTGTAGGCAGAGGCAGGTGGATCTCTGTGAGTTCAAGGACAGACTGGTCTACAGAGAGAGTTCCAGAACACACAGGGATATTGTGAGTCTCAGAAATGCTGTGTGTGTGTGTGTGTGTGTGTGTGTGTGTGCTATCACAGCACTCCATATCTAGACCAGGGTGGATTCCAAGTGCTGGTATTCTCATGGACCAAGCCTGGCTTTGACCCCACGATCAAACATGACAATACCAATTGGCAATGTGTAAAGGCTGGACAGGCCTGAAAGACTGTAAACTGTTTTTCCACCAAAGCGCACATTTTCCACCTCTAACAAGGGAATGTGCAGCATCTACAGGAGGTAGGGACCATACACACCTATCAAGCTCCTCCCCTGCTTCAAATAAAGCTGTCATCACAATTTCTTGCCTTTTCATTCATCCAAACCATAACAAATGTATTCTTGTTTCAAAACATCTATGCTGCCACAACCACCACCTATGTGTTCTGTATAATTTTTTCCTTAAATACAAATGATGCGCTGAACATGTTTTAAAACATGAAGAAAACCATACCCGCTAAACAATCCCTAACATTAAACAGAAACACAATTCTACCTGATAACTACCCTGTCTACTTTCTAAATTTCTAGGCTGGCTGCAAAGGTCTTGTTCAGTTAGTGATGGCAGGAGATCATTTCTTTTGTATAGTTAAACGTCATCTTCGGTTCTATACAGATAGCTAGAGACATCAGGGTTCATTTCTACAACTTCTAGACAGAAGCATGGATTGAAGCGCGCAGAACTGCAAGAGAGAAAAGCTAATTTCCTCTCGTTAACAGAGCGGCTCAGTCTCAGTCTACAATCAAGGACGGGCCAGCCCAGGGTCATTTCCCTCCCAAGAGGCCTGACAGCGGAAACACAAAACCAAGGCGATGTCACTCCGGGGACTGTGGGGTCCCTGGACAACTCAGCATCCAGGGCTCGGCGTCTGCCCTCAGCAGACTCAAATCTACAGGGCGGGCTAGACTCGACTAGAGCTGTCACCCGCAGGGCTGCTCGCGGCACCGCGTTCCAGCATCTCGGGGCGTGCGCCTCCGGAGCTCCGCGCCCCAACCTGCCCGACGTGCGAACCCCAAAGCCGGGGCGGACGCCAGCCCGATCCCTCCCAAGTCGTCGCACACGCCGTGCTGTCCTCCCTTCCCGGCTTCGCCCTTTTCTCACGGCGCTTGGGCGGGCCCATCCGGGCGACGGCCCTCAGCTCAGCTCCGTAGCAGAAGGCGGGAGGCTGACATCGGCAACACACGATTGCCAGAGGCGGAGGCTGAAGGCAGCTGGTCTCCAGAGGCCGGGGTGACTAGCGACAGCGCTCTGACAGCGACGGTACCCGCTTCCTTTCCGCCACGCCACCCAATCACACCGTCTCGCCGTCACTTCCTCCTAGAAGGTAAGGGGAACGCCGGGCGGAAGAAGCGCCCCACCGGACCGGAAGAGGCGGGTTCCGTGGGCGGCGATGTCTGCTGGAGCCTCGTGGAGGGTTTGGTGAGTGTTGCTGGCTCTTTAGGGATTGCCGGGCGCGTGGTGCCCTGGGTGGGCCGGTGCAGCCGAGAGGAATCCGTGCTGTGGGCACCAGGGAGGTTGGAGGGAGCTCCGTTGCCCCAGTGGTCTGCATGGCCGAACCCGGAGGCCGCGCGACTGTCCCAGTGCTGGAGAGTGCAAGGAACTGTCCGACTTTCCTGGGGTTTTGGGAAATGATGTGCAATTGAAACTTAGGAGGGCAGGCGAGGGAATAATTTGAGAATGACAGGGTCGCAGGGAGAAAACAAGAGAGGTTATTTGAGAAAGAAGCAGTTAGGTAGGTTAAAGTAACCGAGTCCCCGTGGACCCCTTCATTTGGCTAACAGCGTAAGCCTTGAAAGTCCTAGGGTAGGGACGGTGCATTTGAAAACAAGTTCAGTGTTACTGTGACTTCGGATGAAAAACATGGAAGTGAAAGAGCTAGGTAAGAAAACTAGTGCAACAACTCATTGATGACGAGCTGGAAATGAAAGTTCTGTGAAGAGAATCATGGACAGTATTCACAGAAACAACCAAAGGAGATGCAGGCATGGGAGAGGAGTGTTTAGCGTGGTGATTAAAAGCGGAACATTTGGAGTTGGATTGCCTGTATCGGAGCCTGGCTTTCGTGCTTAATGGTTAACTTTGAGCTAGTTGTTCAGCATCCCTGTCTATTTTCCTGGTCTGTAAAATGGAGTTAGGAATAATTGCCTCTTCTATTACTGAAGCAAAATTTTATGCACACATTTGCAATGTACTAGACGCTTTTCTGGTGTTTGCTTCTGCTCATGCAGTTACTGAATGAAGTTAGAGATCTGCATGTGTAATGCACAATATATCATTTACTGTACCTTAGGCACTCTCTAAGCCCTGCTACTATGATTCTTTTTTTTTTTTTTCCCAAGGTTACTAGAAAGTTTTAAACCTTAATAGCTAAGGAGCTTGTTTTAAAGTCAAACAATATGAGAGGTTTAGGAAGTAAGGTAGTCATGTAAGGTGCTCAGGAGGGCATGACTTGTAAATGCTTGGAACTCTAGTCATAGATCTAGACGGGACTAGAAATAGAGATGTGGGAGTCCCTGAACCTCAGCACGGTGTGTGGATTCTCCACTGAAAACACTTTAAGTTTACAGAGCTACTTACTGCTTTTCATATGTAGCTGAGGGTGACCCTGAATTCCTGAGACCCGGTGCCTGCCTGCCCAGGGCTGAGATTAAAGATGTGCACCGCACCAGCAATCTAACCCAGGAACTCTGGTGTGCTAGACAGGCTGAGCTACATCCCCAGCTCTTTCCTTCATCTTACTGGTTTAATCCAGGTTCCCATGAGGGGGGAAAAAGTCTCAGCCCAACCAGTTTCACTGTCAGAACCTTGCTAGTTCTTGACAGGGAAAGAAAAGACTGTGTGTGGCTGCGATGAAGCTTTTATGTTAGATATTCCTGAGGTGATCGTGACAATGTAAACAGTTTAAGACTAGAGGCATGAGGGAGTAAGGAGGTCAGTGATTTAATCAGTAAGTAAAGCTTAAGAAGTCACAAGTTGCATGTTTTTGGAAGTACATATGTGCAGCTTTATCTGATGTGTGTGTGTGGAGTTGACGTGGAGTATCTTCCTCCATCACTGTCTGATTTTTTTTCTTGAAACATGATTGCCCAGTCCTTGCATGGCTTGGGCCTGGAACCCTTACTAGAGGAAACAAAAGAATGAAGAAAAGACAGACATGTATATACACATACAGAAAAGTGAGATCAGGTGGTCCGGGCTCTCGGGTAGGGAAGCTGCAGTGCCTCCAGAAGCTCAGCGTGTTTATTATATAGAGTTGAACAGGAAGGAGGGGTTATTGCATACAGCTGAACAGGAGGCAGAGTTAGCTAAAAGGGGAGCAGTCTTCAAGCAGTAAACATTGGACAAGAAAGTACGGTGAACGATTTCTGAACACTATAAACATCCCCACTTGGGCCAGAAAAAGGTTTTGCCACTCATATGGGTTTGAGGCATTGAAGTCCTTGACATGGCTGCACTCTTCTCAACAAGACACATTCACTCAGGGCTTCCTTTGATCCACACACAGGGTCTCTGAACTTGGAGTTCATGGATTCAGCTAGGCTGGCCCTGCTAGTGAGCTCTAGGGATCTATCGGCCTCTGCCTTCCCAGTGCTGGCATCATATACACACCTGGCCTTTGCATGGGGTCATGCTTACACAGCAAGTGCTGTGAGTCATCTGAGCCCAGTGACATGCTTTTGAACTCATAAAAAGTGCTTTGTTTGTCTTTCTGAACCAAATGTACTGCAAAGACTGACTTTTGTTTATTTACACAGATTGCCTTCCCGTGGCATCAGAGGTCCTAACATGGGGCTTACCAAACAGTATCTCCGCTATGTGGCTAGTGCTGTCTTTGGCTTGATTGGCAGCCAAAAAGGTAACATTGTTTTTGTGACTCTTCGTGGTGAGAAAGGACGCTATGTGGCGGTACCCGCCTGTGAACACGTTTTTATCTGGGACTTAAGGAAAGGTGAGAAGGTAAGTCAGAAAATGAGCGAGTTGGCACTGATTCTTGGAGGGATGAAGTGGAAAAGCCCTGACTGATCTGCCCATATTAATTTGTCTGTGAGCCCCCAAGAGACCACTTCCCTTCGCTTCTAGAGAGTGAGCACCAAATTCTGTTGTGTTCTAAAAATCACAGCCATACAGGAGCTTGCTTCTTGGTGTCTGCTTATGTAAATTTTCATAAGTCACTATTTGTAGTTATGATTAACTTCTACTTTTGTCTACCAGTTCTACTTTTTAAGTTCTGCTTGTTCGCTGAGCCAGTGGTAAATAAAATATTAGGATTTTAAAAGGACTATTGCTCTACTGTGTTGTAGAGTCTGTTTCTTAAATATACTGATGAGATCTAGCAGTTGCAGAACTCATTTGACTGTGACTGAAGCTAGTGCTTTCTTCTAATAAGCACGTAGAGATATTTGAATTGTCTCTGTTTGCTGTATGACTCCTAAGAAATGAGATGAGATAGATACAGATGTATAGATATATAGATACTTGAAACCACTAGATCTGTAGTGTCATGAGGTTGAGTTAAAGCAAGGATGGGATTATATCCCTTTATCAAAAATCACCAGGATAAAAATTAGGTAACTTACTCATTGCCTGGCTGTATATCCCACTGTCAGGCTTGAGAGGAAATGATTACCTCTTGAGGATCTCATTGTCTTTGCTTGTAGAATGTTATCATTGTGCATCAGTGACTGGAGATTATTGGTCCTCACTGTGTTAGTGAAATCATTCCCACCCTGATGTCTTGATCCATGCTTTACTCTTCTGCATTGGTTTTGATTTTTATGATTTCAGATCCTTATTCTTCATGGACTTAAACAAGAAGTCACCTGCTTGTGTCCTTCTCCAGATGGGCTGCATCTAGCTGTTGGCTATGAGGATGGATCTATCCGAATCTTCAGCCTCCTCAGTGGTGAAGGAAACATAACCTTCAATGGACACAAAGCAGCTATCACGAGCTTAAAATATGATCAGCTAGGAGGCAGACTGGCTTCTGGGTCCAAGGTGAGCTTCAGAGACTGGTATCCAGAGTTGCTTTTCACACTTAGGTAGAAGAAGGTTATTCACAGAAGTTACTCTGTGAAACTGGATTCTCAGGGTCCAAGCTAGTATACATTTGGAAGAAATGGAGTGAGGAAGATGGATGCACATGACAGGAAGTGTGCTACTTGTTTCCTGTTATGTTCTCTGGTAAAAGTAAGTCTGTGTAATGAAAGAGTAAGACAGGTACTCTGAAAGCTGTCATTGTGGAAAAGTGACCCCAACATGTAAAACAAGGAAGATTAGAAAAGAAGATGTAATAATTTTGCCAATGAATCTGAAAAATTAGTATCTTTCCTATGTTTTAAAAGTTAATGAGTTAAAGCCAGGCATTCTGGCACACATCTTTAATCCCAGCATTTAAGAGACAGGGCACCTGCATATCTGTGAATTAGAGGCCAGTCAGCCGGGCTATATCCTCCTGGGATATACAGTCAGACCTTCTCTTAAAGAAAAACCAAAGCAGAGCAAAGGAAAAAAACATCGTTTTCCCAGCGTAGGAGAAAGGGAGATGAGCTATTTGTAATTGTAGTTAATGGGAGAGGAAAATCAGTTTTCTTCAATGGAGTGACATTGGGTATATTAACCAGACTTCAGGCAGGCCCCATGCTCAGGGGTAGTTGACCAACACAAATCAGACTCTGGTTGTATTTTTGTTTTTCTCCTTTTTGTTGTTTGGTTTTGCTTTTTTAAAGAAGGAAAAAAACCATGGAGTTGAGTGGCTGGGAATGTTGAGGGGAAGAATATGATCAAAATCTATTATATGAAATTCTCAAAAAAAACAAAGAAGAAAAGATTGATAGATTTGAAACATGCATTTAAGACATTAAAATTTTTACCTTTAAAAAGTGTAAAAAGAAAAAAAAAGTGTAAAAAGGGGGGAATATAGTATTTAATAAAAACTATCATCTAGGGGGCTGGAGAAATGGCTCAGTGGTTAAGAACATTGTCTGCTCTTCCAAGGGATCCGTGTTCGACTCCCAGCACTCACATGGCAGCTCACGAGTGTCCGTAAACAGTTCCAGGTAGCAGGTGGTCTGACACCCTCACACCAATGCACATAAAATTAAAAACAACAAAACTATCATCTCCCTTTTAGACTTGTAAAATAAGATATAAAATTCAACATGTAAAAGATAACATCAATGAAAAAAACAAGTCAACAGTTTTAAAGAAATGATGGCCAT